AGTCTGAAAAATGATCATGATTTGGTTGGTGTAATTTTCGTTTATCCTTAAGAAACATTATCTTTATTAAAAAAAAATGAAGATTTGACTTGGACTAATGATATTCCAGTAGAACTTTGACAGTCAGTGATTTGTTGCATAGGGAGACAAATAAGAGGTTGTTTTTCAAGTGTAATCCATTTTCATCAATATAACTAGTCAGTTTCAAAAAAATAATTTGGAGATCGGGTGTTTTAAACAGTTTTTTTTATCACTATTACTACGATTTCTCAATGGTATTCCTAAAAATATTATATATTTCAATATCTCATAGATACAGAGAAATAGCTATAGATTATTACATGCAGGATGTTGATAGATGGCGTGATTGATTTAATGTTTTCATGAAATTTTCAAAATAATTCAATCTTTTGAACTTATTAGAAGTGCAGATTTCATTTAAAAATGTTGTATATGTATATTTATGTATACGTTTGTTTATGGAATAATCACACTACATTAAAAATTAGTCCCAAATTACACTTAGATAAAGGGGTAGAATTTTTATGAATGGAGAATTAGTACATACACTTGCATACATGTACGCATGTGCATATGTGTCAGTGGTCATAGTTACATGATAATGTTGGATATATTCACAATGATTCCTAATCATTTGTTTATTTATCATGAAATCGAAATTCTTTGTCTCATTATAAAAAGTAATCGATTATTTAATAAACAGTAAATAAAGATTGCATAGAATAATGAATAGGGACTTTGTAATGAATTCACAGTTATTATCGTTACTACAAGAGGTTTGCGAGAATTGTTCAATCTGAAATTGTTTTTTTTTTTAACCTGGAACTGGTTTCAGCTAAATAACCAATGAAAAGTGCAACAATTGCTTCGTCTTAGTATGGGACTCAACCCATCTAGAGGTTAAACTCTGGATATTCATATTTTTAACTTCTGTTAATCTAAGATATTCAGTGACAATTATCGATTACTACTTAGGATACCTGTCTAACTCCCAGCGTGTTTGGATTGCATGGGTTAAGGCTTCTCATTGAGACTTCGAGAAGTCTATTCGAGTTTAGTCACTAGTGTACGTGTGGTTATTATTAACATCGGATGTTTATAGAGATTGTTTGCTTTGAAATCAATTTACCTTACAAAGTGAATTCGATGACAAAACTAATGAAAATCAGAGTGACATTTAACACTGTTTCGTCAAAGTTTGAGACTCTCTATCAGTGTTCGCCAAAATGATGTAAACCTATTAGAGCTATTGCATATTTTGTAATCGTAGAAACAACTGGATAGAAATGAAGTATTGAAGATGGATCGGACGAATTTAATATCCTTTTCCATGATAATTCAACGCAGTATTTAAACGAAAATCATTAAGATCGAACAAATCAAAAATTTAGTCATAACCAACTTAGAAGAAACATTTGAATAAAAATAGCACTAAATTGTTTGGAATGAAGTGAAGTTCATCATTTAGCCTGAATAAATTCTTCATTAGTAAACTGTCGTCAAACTTTATCACCTAATCTAAACTAAATTTAGGTGTTAAAAGTAAGGTAGAAAATTTTGATGGAGTTTTGTTTTACCTAAAGTTTGTGCTGATGATGTCGTTCAGAAGAATGATGAAAGCTCCACGAACAAACCATCAGGCTTAGAGAACAAAACTTCACCAAAATCATCCACTTGAGCTACAAATCTTCTCCACCATCTCAAAGGTAGAAGATAGAACTAAACTCAGGGCTGATCCATTACATGTTATTCTCTCTTATGATTACTACCATTATTATTATTATTATTATTATCATTGTTTCGTTATTAGTATCACTACTATTAACATTAGATGTAAACACTTTCAATGAAATACTTCCCTAAATTTTTGGTTTATGTGCGCGTGCGTGTGTATGGTATTCTATTGTCAATAAATGTCCATTATTAGTAAACAAATCTAAATTTCTATTCGGATAACTTGTAGAAGAATCACATAGATCCTGAAATGATTGAAAAAAAAAATCAACTTTCTTTATCACATATGATTTCATAAAACAATCTATTTGTTTATTGAGACATGTAAATGTTTTTCTATTCATCTTAGCTTTGATATTTTAGTTGTGAAGATCATTATCGCTATCATTTAATAATGATATTATGAATTGTCATTATTATTGCAAAACAAAATTAGAAAATCACATTCATGATCAAAAATTCAAAATACCGAAACAAATGTCACAAATAGATTACTATCTATCACTCAATATCGTTTCTCTCTCTCTCTCTCGCCTTTACTTTCACACTTTCTCCATTTTGTATATGCACAAAAGATGTCAACTATCACAAATAAGCAATTCAAAAACAAGCGCATATCTACATAAATGTAACAAATGAAATATATATATATATATATATATATATTATTATATATTATATATATATATATTATATATATATATATATATACCCATATTTTCAATGTCCAATGTTCAAAGTTGTTTAATCCTTTTTTACCTTTTTTCACTTTGAAGTGTTGATTGACGAATATAACAACAAATATATATTTTTTTCAACTAATATACTTAAAATAAATGTCTAAATCTAGTTCATAAAAATAATACCATCACTATTATTATTATTATTATCTTATATATGATATTTCAGTAGTAAAGTGTATAATGAAAATAATACAATGACTATTACTATTAGCTATCTGTAAAGTTTATGTAATAAGTAAGATTAACGAAGATTAAGTAAATACAAAACAGTTGTCACCAATTTCATGATATTTTGTTTATATGATGTATTCGATCGTAATACAGAAGATTAAACTGATTGTCTAACGATATATATATATATATATATATATATATATATATATATATATATATATATATATATATAAGAATTTTCGCAGAGATTTTGCCTACCTCTCTTGCTTATTAACAATCCAAATGCTTACATGCCTAAAAGTATGGATTATGAGACATTTTCAATAATTCTTGATGAATACTATCACTAGATAACATGAATGGTGGCTTCACAATAGGTACAATTTATGTGTTTTTTTACTTTGAATTACTGAAATAATGTTATGTACTGGAAAATGGATTTATTTGTTTGAATGAGATGTCATTTTCTAAGTATTTATTAACCACTTATTGAACATCTACTACTTGAATTACCCAGATGATGATAGAGATCTCTATAGTTTGGATATAGATTCTTATTAACAAACTGACATTCACTGGACAATAATGAACTTCACCTAAAATTCTTTTGATTGATAGATGTAACAATTTTTCATGAACGACCACTTACCTAGTATTTTTATACAGTCGGACATTTTTTACTTCTAAAAACTTGATAATACTATATTTAAATATCTTGCAATAAGGTTCAGGTTTCTTTTATGGAAATTCGAAATTAACACCATTGGATCCCCTCTCAGTGGTTAAAAGGTTAATGGTTTGTATGTGAGACCGAAGGTCCTTTGTACGATTTCCGCTTGCAAGGTCGTAGATGAGCGCTGTTAAGGAGTCAGGTACTAGGAAGAAATGGTTGTCTAGTGCTTCTAGGTTCTCAATGTTGGTTCATCTTAGATCGTTTCATGATATCAATAACACTGCTTTTCAGTTTATGATTCAGTTTGATGAAACTATGCAACGATGTTTCGATCTTATTTTGGAGAGTCTAGAGTTAAATGTTTTATTCATCTGTAAATAGAATAATTAAAATCATAATGACAAATCCTTAGTTGCTTCTATCTATCTGTCGATAATCGACTTTGTAACATATCTGCAATAAATCAGTTATTAAACTTCTTGTATTCACTGATTACGGATTCATGTAGACATTAATTACTAAGAAATGATCACTGACCTACATCTACCTTAGTCTAAGTAATAACTACACTGGATTAAAAAACGTAACTCAGTCAATTAGTACGTCTGAAATGTTATATGTATGGCTTGATAATATAAAAGCTAATAATTGAAATTTATTGACATTGAGATGGAGTTGACATAGTCTTCATAAACTGAATGCTGTCGAAAATTTTAAAAATATGTAGTCCAAATATCGTCAATAAAATTTAACAGTGATTTCGATATCAGTCACCATGTATAAAGAAATATGCGAAAGTTTAACAAACATGCTATTGCAAAGAAATTAACTGTATATAGCAGAAATATTGATTAATTCGAACTTACAGTTAAAAACAGTGTCCCATAGTGACATGCAACTTGTTCCTAATTATCATTTATTGTTCTGATCAGTATTTTTCGTTCCGTTTTCCTTATAATATTCCTTTCTAATCTTGTTGATTAACTTTAACGATGTGTTAAAATGACCTATAATACGTTAACCTTGAGATTTATTGACTGTTTAGAAATATCACTTGAAGGGTGACGGTAAACTCATAAAAAAGAAATAATACACTTCACAATTAAACATTGAACAACTTTATTGTGTTACTGTAGAATATATAAGGTTTGTATGCGGTAGGCATATTTTAATTGCATTGTCTAATTCAATTGATACTTTGCTGTTTTTATTACTGTCATAAACATCTTTTAAGGTATTTATCTTATTTATTGTCTAATCCTACAACCAACTTTGTCCAATTTCCAATTATTCTTAGTTGTTCTTATTTAGATAATTACTTAATCATTATTCAGTTTTGATAAAAGCAATAGGGTTATTTTGTGATATAAACTATGAAAATGATGACAAGTAACTGGATGTGAATAATAATAATAACGAAATCTATCAATGTTTACTGAAGTAATCAAAAACCCTCATATTCAGTTAACTATTATCTGTGGTAAACTTTGTCAGGTCATCACCTTTGAATTCAAAACAACTATCTATATCATAAACTCTTCAAAACCATAGAAATATAAATTCAATAGAATGTTTTCCTTCTATAATTAATCGTAATTATGAGTTTGTTTTGTTTTGTCACAAAACAATGTTTTTAAAAAAAATTATTTTTTTAGTTTCATATTAGGAAAGAAAACTGCGATGCTAATGAATATTAATAATTTCATGGGATCAATTATGCCAAAAACGTCAACACCAACAAAAGAGTTGACTGGAACTGATTATACCGATGGGTCATCTGGTCACGATATGAATAAAACCGATTTATTAAATTCTTACACAAACACTTTGTCGTCAGTTGCTAGCTCTAAGAAACGTACTACTAGCAAAAATATCAGTAGCTATAACTGTAACAGATCAATTTTAAAAGACAGTGAGACGGAAGCTTCGGTAGAATGCTTGTCAAAGGATGAATCTTATCATAAAACGAACTACAATAGTTCTGAATTTTTACAAGAATATACACTTATAAACAATCAAGAGAATCTTGAAGCAAATGGGTTGAAAATGCGTCTTTTAGCGACGCTCGCTGATATGATTCCACATGATGAAAGTTTAAGTTTACGTCTACTGATGAGCTACACAATTGATGATCAAGAAAGTGAGTGTGTTGTTATTGATGAAACACTGTGTCGAGGGGGAAAGCGTAATGAAACCAACAATAATAGTTTTCAAAATTGTTTAGATAAACCAAAAAGTAAGAGTGGAATTCATGAAATGCTACTCAATGAAAAAAAACCTATATTGAGTGCAATATCTCTTGAACATTCAACTAGCCAACAAAGTACTTCAAATGAAGCTGATGCATTAGACTTGTCTCTACATAATGAAACATCTGATTCCATGGACTATCATATAGATTCTTTGAATACAAAACCAATAAAACAAGATTATATGTCACAAGCAATTATTGACGGTGTAATTAGTGAAACAAAATCCCCATGTTGTATACCATCGAGTTTGTTATCATCTAGCTTTGTACAGTCCAATATGAATTCGACAAAAGCTTTGGATACAGTTGTGGCTACAACATCTGCAACTAATTCGATTAATCAAATTCCATTATTTGATACGTCTATATTAGCATTACTTCCATTATTACAGCAACAACAACAGTCTCAACAAATACAGCCAAACCAACAAAGTACAAATACATTAGCATATCAAAATGTTTTAAACCCAAGTTCATTGTCATTGCTCCCTACCACTATTCCTACTTCAATGACAACAATAAGTGCAACGAAATCAAATCCTATCACTTATAATTATACAGGTATGTCGACAAATGCCAATTTGCTATTCAATCAATTATATCCAACACAATTGCAACAAAATATTCAACAAACCAATAATTTACTTACAACACATTTGAGTAGTATAATACCAAAACAAACAGAAACAACGACAACAGAATCAACTTCGACAGCAGTTTTAAATACAATCGCAGGTTCATTAACAAACAATGCCGTTAACACCCAGTCGCTTTTAAATACAGCATCTGTTATAGGATTCCCATTAATAAATCCATTTTCACTTCAAACAAATATTACTAGTACTAGTAGTACCAGTAACAACAATAGTATTACTGATCAATTTAATGCTTTCCTACCATCTGCATCATTTCTCGGAACAACATCAACATCTACACTTTCACAAGCATTACTGACGCAATCAACATCATCATTATCATCATCACCATCGAATATTACATCAATAAGTTTAGGATCGACAAATACCACTGCTACATTATTCAATGTCAAAGATAAGCAAACAGGTTTAATTGAAACTGTAGGTATAATGCCAGGTATAAAACATTTAAATCAACCAATTGCATCATTAATCAACCAGTTAACTCTCAATGCTTCGTCTAATAATAATAATAATATTTCACTTAAAACACTCTCAACATTATCCCAACTATTTAATAGTAACCTCCTTACAACAATATCAACTCATAATTCTACAAATCATAATACTACTAATAATAATACAAATTCTACAAATTTCAATATAGTAAATAATCTAGCTATACCAACAATAGTAAATACCCATATTAATAATAATCATATTTCTTTGGATAATGGAACAATGAATGATAATGAACTAATAACAATAGAGAAAACTCATATTAAATCATCTTCAAGTGCAAGCATATTATCGAATTGTTCTAGTCCATTATATTCATTAAATAATCACTCAACAGATAAATTTTCAAAATCAAATTCAACAAAAAATCATAAAAATGAAAATATGAAATTATCAGTGCAACAAAATCAACAATCTAACACCACAACTACTACTACTAATATTAATACTACAACTGCTAATAGTAATTTTTTATTTGGTCGAAGATTAGTTCTTAGCCGTCGTTTTATTTGTAATCAATGTCGTCGTAATTTTTCATCATTAGCTGAATTAAATCGGCATACAATTGAAGCGCATAATTCATTTCGTTGTACAATTTGTTCAGCACATTTTACACAAAGATCTAATCTACAACGACATTCATTGAAACATGTTGGTTTTAAACCATTTACATGTAATCTATGTAAAAAAGAATATTATCGTAAGGATCATTTAGTTAGACATATTGAAGTAACACATCCAACACATGATCCTAAAATGAATATCACTGTTCATTTAACATCATCAGAGTGTTTAGATTATTTGGATAGATTACAAGCTGGAAAACAATCACAATCACCATCAATACATCATAATCAACCGGAGAATAAAGAATCAACATCTAATTTAGGTTCAGATGTTACTACAAATATTACTACTACTGCTGCTGCGATTACCGCTACTACTATAACTACGGGTAGTAGTAGTAGTAGTATTAAAAACAGTACTGCTTCTGACCTATGCAATAAGAATAGTATTTACAAAGACGATCTTGATTTAATGAATGAAGAATCCATGAAAATTGAAGAGGCTACATTAGAAACACCAGATATTGAAATGAACGGAGACAATGATATCAATAATAGTAATAATGATGAAGATATTGAAGAACAATATTACAGTATGACCGATTGTAATGAAATTAGTTAACTACAATTGATTAATGAATCAAAAACAAACAGTCAATAAGTGTAAAAAAAGACTTTAAAACTATTTCATCGAAATTTCCATTTTCGTGTGTATTTACTTGCACAACATGCATCTGATAATGCACCGGTCTCTGTGTTATTACAGTTTACTAATTTCTCAAAAACATCGGAAGTCAGTTTCTTTTTTTCCTACTAAAATTGCATTTATGATAAACATTTAATGTTGTGAATAACATTGAAATCTGTCAGTTACCTTTGAAATACCATTCAGCATTATTATGTATTTATTTAGTACTTATATAAAGGGATATATGCTATTGTGCAGTTCCACTTTTCCAAATGCTTAACCAATTACACAAAAAAGTGGAATGGAATAAATGAAATGAATAATAAACAATAAATCTCAATCATGTTAGTTCCTGTGATTACTTAATTCTTCTAATCTTTTTTTATGATAAAGCTCTTTTTATACTGTTTCATTGGATAACAAATAATTCATTTTTATATATACATGCGTGCAAGGTCGGTTTGAACGATAACGTAGACCTTATTCAACATTCCATAATAGAAAACAGAGAAATGAATTTGGATGATGAAAAATTTGACAGAGTATGTTATATTAAAAGTGGATTTTTTTGTTTCTACTTCTTATTTGTCTTTTCCATACACAAACATGTTTTTTTATAAAGTTACTTTTTTGCTTTCATTTAATGAGTTTGTAATTTGTCTTTTATATTTTATTGACATTTACTTCTATCATTCCTAAATGCTATTAATGTTATTACCGCCACAAAAACCAACTGATTGTATCGATATTCAGTATTGTCACATCTAATTCATATGTTTTACGCTCAATAATTCAGCTTTATGAAACAGGTTATTTAGTAGTTTGTAATGAAGAAAACATCAATAGAGAAGTGACTATTTTAGACTGATATCTTTGATATTAATGTCATTTTAAATTGACGATTTTCTGGGAGAAAAAGAAATGTAATTTATAACTGTTTACATGATACTAGCATGAAGTGTCTGTTAGAATATACCCTAAAAGGTTAGTGTTTTGTTAAAAAGATTTATACCTTGTTAATCATTTTAAGTAGCATATTTACGAAAAACTGACTAATCACTGAGTGGTGACTTAAGTCATGTTTATCAAGACCTTAGTGTTGATTGGATATTGCGGATTCAATCACAATGTGACCACTAGTCTAAGTGACTCGATATAGTGTGGGCTGTTGTTAGGTGGTTAAAGGCACCCGACATGAAACTCCTGACCCAGGTGTCGTATTACTTATCACTCATCAGCAAGGTTCACCTGATGTTTCTCGATGGATAAGAAATCCTTACCACACAGCTTCAAAACTCAAGGCATTACCACTGAGCTATTCAGGCAGTGACTGGCCTTTTTTAGAATTGAAATGGTCATGTTGATTAATCATGGAATAGGAATCAATATCATGCTTGTTCAGACCAGGGTTTCCAACCGACAAACTTTAACCACCTAAAGAACGGTTACGGAAGCACTTACAGAATAAAATTAATTCATTATATTTTAACGAATCGTACATTCTAGAATCAGAGGTTGTTTAACTCCTTTTTTAAACAGCTACATGAACGCAGATATCATATTAGGCGGACTGCAAGTACAAAGTGTTATTAATAAAGTACTAATATACCCAATTTATTGATCAAGCTAATAAATAATTATATGATCTTCAGTGTTAACAATGTCAATGAGTGTAAGTGCGCAGTTTTTCATTGATGCATTGTTATCAGGAAACGTATAACTTCAAATCGTAGGTGTTGGACCACAAGAAGCACCAGCATAAGGAGTGAATCTCTGCTGATACACCGAACAAGATTAAAAAAGGAAGAAAAATAAAACAGCAATCAACAACAGCCGAACAAGAGCAGAGGAAGTTAAGGCACAGGTCGAATAAACAGAAGGAAAAAAAGAGTGAATAGGCGCATTGGATCTGATAAGCAAAAATACGTGGGAGACCTAGCAATGACATGGGAAAAAGCTGAAAGAGAAGGAAAACAGAAAACCTCTTGATAAAAATAAGGAGTTAGCAAGGAAGATATAGTAAACCAGAGAGACCAGTCAAGAACAGAGAAGGCAAACCAATCACCGGAATTCAAGAGTAGCGGGACAGATGGATAGAACACCTTGAAGAGCTCTTTGATAGATCAGACTCACTGAACACACCAAAAAATGAAGTAGCACACACAGACCCTCCTATAGATGTTACTTTACTAGCAGAAATCAATACCACCCGACAAATCAATAATGGTAAAGCAACAGAACCACACAACATACCAGCTGAAGCACCGAGGCCAGATATGGAGGTAAACTGCAAAAAATGCTCCACATCCACTTCATGACGATTTGTGAAGGAAAAATACCGGCAGATTGAAAGGAGGGATAACTTGTCAAGATACCGGAGAAATCATAGTAAGTGTGAGAAATACAGAGACATCATACTAATATTCATATCAGGAAAAGTCCTCATCGGCATTACTGAACCAAAGAACGACTCAGTGGACTCCCAACAAGTTGACTTGCATAAGATCCGATTGTGTGCCAACCAAATAGCAACACTACGGATCGTTATTGAGCAATCAACAGAATCGAACTCTTCACCATACATCAACTTTCTTGGATATGAGAAGGCATTTGACAGAGTAGATAGAAGAATCCTCTCCGATATTATGATGTGCCTGGAATCGTCACAATCATATGAAAATCCTACGACAGACTACACTGCATAGTGTAAAGAAAGCAGCAAACAGATGCATTCCACGAGATAACGGTTGTCAGATACAGCTACTTACTTTTGTCCTCTCTCCTTCTAGTGGTTAACTGGATTATGAAGGCCTCCCCAAATCAGGGGAAGCACAGAATACAATGGATAGCATGGATTCAGCTAAACGATTTGGATTCCGCAGAAGCCTTAACACTTCCATACATACACAGCAACCAATGCAGGAGCAGACAGCCAGTGTAGGAGTAGTAGGCTTCAACATTCACAAAGAAAAAAAACGAGGTCCTAAGATACAACACAACCGGCACCAACCAAATCACATTTGATGAAGCTCTGGAAGAGGTGGAAATTTATATACACATGTGCATCACCGATAGACAAGGAGAGTCCAATGCAGATGTGGAGACACAGATTGGCAAAGCAAGGGAAGTATTCTTACTAGTGAAGAATATCTAGAACTCAAAGAACAGTCACTCGAGATCAAAGTCAGAATTTTCGACAAGAAACCTAAAGCAGTTTTTCGTACAGATCTGAAATTTCGGAAAATACTACAAATAAAATCAAAAAGGTGCTGGTATTTGTGAACAGCTTTCTATGAAAGATACTCTGGATCTAATTGCCAGAGACTACCAACAATAACCTACTATGGCAGCGAAAAAAAACACCTCCCAGCTGGATAGGAAATCTGGAACAGACGACCGAGGTGGATAGATCACACTTTATAGAACTGCATCGCTGGGCAATTCCTAACACGGAATCCTCAAGGGAAGACATCAATGAACAGCACTAGACAAGTGGAAAGGAGAGCCCAGGATGGAGTAGGTTGAAGATACCAGATTGACGGCTTATGCTCCACGAGGATTGACAAGAGTAATTAAGTAACCTCAATGTCAAAAGAAAATGAAGCAATCAGAAAGTTAAAGTACGGTCTAGTCATCGAAATCTTGCATAAATGTGAAAAATACCTCTACAAGATTTCGACAAGCCACTTTGTGCTTAGTGTCAGAAAACAAGCATAGTTATTCTGTTATCTAAGCAACTTAAGTTGTTTGAGCATCATTTCCTAAGATTAAACTCCAAGATCCCCTAAAATAACTTCGAACTATTGCACTTCTGACCACCTTTGCGCACATTTATAAACTATTTCATCAACCACGTTTCCTTAGTAATCTGATATATTTCCTTGAAGCATAATTGATTACAATTGAAATGACGAATGCAGATTTAAAAATAAAGTAAAATGTTTAGTAAGAACATAATTGTAAATTCAATCTATAACTTATATTTACATTAGGATAATACGGTTGCTATATTATAGTTACTAGTGACAAGTAAACAATATACAGGTGAACATTAATTGAATCCTGTGAATGAATTCAAAATCTGGAAAAAGGTGAAAAGCAGAATCAGTTTTGTAACCCTTATTCTGTTGTTAAATTACTCAAGTATATAATCCGGAACTGCCGTTAATTTCATGCTCACATAATTTGTGACGAAACCCAGTTGAATTACATAACTTTCAATCAAAACATTATACATATCATTAGATTGTTGGACGAAATGGTCTATAATGATTATTCTCAAAATAGAGCATCTACAATGTCTAATGGTGATTCGATGAGGAAACAATATGTATAACTGTAAGGTAAGGTACGGCAACTCGAACTGATGTACGTACATACGAGTTCTACGTTTTTACTGACTGGCCCCTTCCCCATGGAAAACATTCACTTCATAATTTTTGAGGAAAAAGCGCGAAAACATTAAAAGAAATTATATACTAATAAAAACAATACGGTTACAGGATCAGTTACAAACAAACTGTATATGTATGCATATATATACATATATTTATATTGAAAAAATCACTCTCATATCTGATTAAAAAAATAAACCACGGAAAACAAAAGATAAATCCGTGCATAAATAAAGTTGCCGTGTATAGATTAATGCATATATGTATGCATGGATAATATGACCAAGAGATATGATATTAAAAGTTTAACCGATTAATGTGGAGTACAAATATTGGGTACAAATAAACACAAACATAAACACACTGTTCGTGAGGAAATAGTCAATCATCAAGTCGATTAGGATCAAGGTGCGTAGAAGATTGTTTGCCACGACCTAGAACTTTACTCAATTGTTTCAGTATTTTCGGTTGACCCTGGAAAATAATTATTTATAAGATAAGTGAAAGTCAAAAGAAAACTACACAATATTAAGTCATATTCTATGACAATTCAATTAAACGAAATAAACTGTTATTTAGGAAGTTATATAAGTATATTTATTCATTTTAACACATAGATATTGGTACAAGGAGGCACCAAATACATATGCGCCACACAGATCTCATTTGATATGTGTGAGGGCTGTGATACTGCTCGGGCGCCCAAACCGAAGCAGGTATATAAGTATATGGCAGCATGTGATTATCTACGTAGGACCTGGGGCAGATCTGCGTTCGTTCAAGTTACTACACTACAACATCACAATGATACCCATAAGTAAACGCATTAAAATAATACTCGCGTCCATAACAACAAGAAAAGTGTATATTTACAGAATATGATGTGAAATAAAGAAGATGGAATTGAAGAATGAAAAGGTATGAAATAATGTTAAAACTCAAGACAATGGAGAACAAACTCATTTACACTAGTGGAACTGACTTTCAACCACAAAAGTTAACGTCTCTCCAACCATTAAACATGGTTATTTCACAAACCCATAGTCTAAGCTTTCTAGTATGGCTCAAACTAACAGTCCATGGTTTCATGGACTGATAGCATATCTTGGCTTGACAACTCCTAGTTTACTCATACATCAGTCATCATTGAATGTCAAGGTAGGCGATGGTTGAGTATACGTAATACCTAAGTATGGACAAATATCTTTTAACATGAGACAAAAGATTGAATACACTCATTCATTAAAATTTTGTTTCAATAATATAGTTCACTACAACGATAATTTTATAATAATGGTCTGAGAAAAAAAAAGTTAAATAAGATATTGTAAAGATAATAACATTTAATATGTTACCATCCACTTTTAAAAAAGTAAGTATACTTTTCCAAATGCTCAGATTGACGGTAATCATGATTAGCTTATTGTGTAATAAATATAACAGCCTATACAATTATTTCATGAAGAATTACGTAAATTAGTTCTTAAAAAAAAAAAACTGAAAACTTACACGATGCTTCAAAGCTGATGGCACCTATGTACATAAAATAGAATAAAATCAGAACAGTTTGTAGCATTAAATGAAATCAGAGATTTGCAAGAATCTTTATATATATATATATATATATATATATATTATATATATATATATATATATATATATATGACAAGAAATTCGACCGCGTGATAAACCACGGCGTGCCAACAATACATGCTTATTGTCAGTATGGGGGTTGTGGAGATTGTTAAGTTTTTGGTTGAGATCATGAATCAATTGATGTTAGACCACCGTTGGAAACCTGGAAGCACCAGGTTTCCAACGGTGGTCTAACATCAATTGATTCATGATCTCAACCAAAATACATGCTTATGTTATTCTGATTTTAAAATCAAAATAATCTAAAGATCACAGTAAAAAAAACTTCAAGGGGTTTATTCATAATTAACTGTACAATAACGTGATAAAAAACAGTGGAGATAATAAGAAATAAGCAGAAAATTCAGAACGACAATAATATATCCATATTAATAATCTCAAAAATTGGCCAAGTTCATCATTTGAGGTCACAGCATGTGAATTTAGGATTATTAAACAAAATAGAATAAAATTGTTAATGTTGGTATGACTCATATGGAATGTTAACTTGAATCACTTATACGTTAAATGAAATTGTGAGAATCATGATCAGAATAAATATGGGTCAGATAGGGTGAGAAAAATAAGAAGGCAATTACTAATTACATCAAATATTTCGTGTAAGACTATATTATGTTAAGATTTTAAATGAAATCAGTAGGAAATAATAAAGTGGGATGAATACTACGGAAATAAATCATGCAATTGGAAGATTAGTAATGACGCCAAACGAATAATAGTAGCGATAATAATAATACACAGATGACAGATACAATTATATTTGACTAAGAAAGGTTGTAAGTACACTAGTTAAGTTAAGTCATTCAATAATTAAAAATACTGAGGTTGGCCAAGGTATAAAAAGCGGTTGAAGATATATACATATAGCTCCAGTTTCTTAATCCAGAAGGCTACTGCTTTTACCGTTTGAAGGACTTTGAGTCTGATAGGCTTTGACAAAAATTACTAACCCCATAAATGATTGAAAGAGACTGACTTATACTGGCACTATGACGAGTTTAACTCCGCCTGTAGCTCTTCTAGAGTTACTGCCGGTCCCAAGCCCGGGTAAAGGAGGAGGGTTGGGCATGGGGTTAGCGTCCCCATCCCGTAGAAAACTAACTCGCTAAAAAAACGCTTACCAGAAAAAATTATTCAAACCATTTAAACTCTGCCCTGGGAGTTAGAAGGTCTTCAGTTAGAAGAATTATGACGCTTCATGGTGAAAGCCGAGTTCCTTCGGAAGCCACGAGGCCGATGCCCCTTCTAACAACCAGAGCAAAAATTTTTATAGGTACATGGAACGTTCGAACAATGTGGGAAACCGGGAAGACCAGTCAAATAGCAATGGAAATGAGGAGATACAACTTAGCAGTACTGGGAATCAGCGAAACCCACTGGACCCAAGCTGGACAGAAAAGGCTAGCTACGGGAGAGATGCTGCTATACTCCGGTCACGAAGAGGAAAATGCTCCACACACTCAGGGAGTCGCTCTAATGCTGTCCAAAGTAGCACGAAATGCACTTGTAGGATGGGAATCTCACGGATCCAGAATCATCAAAGCATCATTCAAAACAAAGAAGGAGGGGATCTTAATGAATATTATCCAATGTTATGCACCCACCAATGATAGCAACGACGACATTAAAGATCAGTTCTACGAGCGGCTGCAGTCAATCATTGAGAAATGCCCAAGAAAGGACCTAACTATTCTGATGGGAGATCTAAATGCCAAAGTCGGAATAGACAACACCGGATATGAAGATATTATGGGACGACATGGACTGGGAGACAGAAACGAAAATGGAGAAAGATTTGCAAATCTATGTGCATTCAACAAATTGGTCATAGGAGGCACAATATTTCCACACAAGCGTATACACAAGGCTACATGGATCTCACCGGACCACACTACAGAGAACCAAATAGATCATATTTGCATCAACAAAAAATTCCGAAGGACAATGGAAGATGTGAGAACCAGGAGAGGTGCTGACGTAGCTTCAGATCACCACCTAGTTGTAGCCAATTTAAAACTGAAGCTAAAAAAGAACTGGACAAGTGGACAAACAGCACTACAAAGGTTCAATACAGCCTTCCTTCGAGATACTGACAAACTCAATGAATTCAAGATAGCTCTCAACAACAGGTTCCAAGCCTTACAAGATCTACTGAAGGAAGAAGAAACTATTATGGAGGACAACTGGAAAGGCATCAAGGAAGCATTAACTTCAACGTGTCAAGAGGTTCTGGGCCTAAAGAAACACCATCATAAGGAATGGATCTCTATAGAAACACTGGACAAGATCAAAGAAAGGAAGAACAAGAAGGCAGCAATTAACAACAGCCGAACACGAGCAGAGAAAGTCCAAGCACAAGCTGAATACATAGAAGCAAACAAACAAGTGAAGAGGAGCATTAGAGCCGACAAGAAGAAATACGTGGAAGAACTAGCAACGACGGCAGAAAAAGCTGCTAGAGAAGGAAATATGAAACAGCTTTACGATACAACGAAGAAACTATCAGGGAAATACAGTAAACCAGAGAGGCCGGTCAAAGACAAAGAAGGCAAGCCAATCACCGAAATTCAACAACAGTGAAACAGATGGGTAGAATACTTCGAGGAACTCCTGAATAGGCCGGCTCCAATGAATCCACCGGACATCGAAGCAGCACACATAGATCTTCCTATAGATGTCAACCCACCAACGACGGAAGAAATTAGAATGGCCGTCAGACAAATCAAGAACGGGAAAGCAGCAGGACCCGACAACATACCAGCTGAAGCACTGAAATCAGACATCGAAGCAACCACAAGCATGCTTACCTTCTATTCAAAAAGATTTGGGAGGAGGAACAAGTGCCGATGGACTGGAAAGAAGGACACCTCGTCAAGATTCCAAAGAAAGGAGATCTGAGCAAATGTGAAAACTACAGAGGCATTACACTACTGTCAATACCAGGGAAAGTCTTCAACAGAGTGTTGCTGAACCGGATGAAGGATGCAGTAGACGCCCAACTTCGAGATCAACAACTGGATTCCGTAAGGATCGTCGTGCACAGACCAAATTGCAACACTACGGATCATCGTCGAACAATCAGTTGAGTGGAACTCTCACTTACATCAACTTCATTGATTATGAAAAGGCATTCGACAGTGTAGATAGGAGGACATTATGGAAACTTCTTCGACACTACGGAGTTCCTGAGAAGATTGTCAATATTATCCGGAACTCATACGACGGACTACAGTGCAAAGTAGTGCATGGAGGACAGCTGACAGATGCATTCCAAGTAAGGACCGGAGTCAGACAAGGCTGTTTACTCTCTTCCTTCCTCTTTCTTCTGGTGGTCGACTGGATTATGAAGACCTCGACATCTGAAGGAAAACACGGAATACAATGGACAGCTCAGAATCAATTAGACGATTTGGACTTCGCAGATGACCTAGCCCTCCTATCACGTACACACGAACAGATGCAGATGAAGACAGCCAGTGTAGCAGCAGTCTCTGCATCAGTAGGCCTCAGCATACACAAAGGGAAAACCAAGGTCCTCAAATTCAAAACGGAGAACAGCAATCCAATCACTCTTGATGGCGAAACTCTGGAAGATGTAGAATCCTTCACATACCTGGGAAGCATCATCGATGAACAAGGAGGTTCAGATGCAGACGTAAAGGCGAGGATTGGCAAAGCAAGGGTCGCATTCCTACAATTGAAGAACATATGGAACTCAAAACAACTTTCAACCAATATCAAAGTGAGAATCTTCAATACGAACGTCAAGGCAGTTCTACTGTATGGAGCTGAAACTTGGAGAACTACAACAACCACCATCAAGAAGGTACAAGTATTTATAAATAGCTGTCTACGCAAGATACTCAACATCCATTGGCCGGATACCATCAGCAATAGCCTTCTGTGGGAGAGAACAAATCAGCTTCCAGCTGAAGAAGAAATTAAGAAAAGACGATGGAAATGGATAGGACATACATTACGCAAATCGTCAAACTGCATCACGAGGCAAGCCCTAACTTGGAATCCTGAAGGGAAGCGAAAAAGAGAAAGGCCAAAGAACACATTACGTCGGATAATAGAAGCAGATATGAAAAGGATGAATAACAACTGGAAGGAGCTAGAAAGGATTGCCCAGGACAGGGTTGGATGGAGAATGCTGGTGAGCGGCCTATGCTCCTTCACGAGGAGTAACAGACGTAAGTAAGTAACTATGACGAGTTTGCACTAAATAGGCCTAAATCGATCTGTTCAATTCCTTCACTAGGTCTTTCTTTAGGCACGCCGGCAGGTGTTCGGGAGCACGAAAATGAAATTCATAAAGTACTTACGAAGTAATGAAATATAACAAAGCTTATTCCCTGAGAACAATCTTTAGAAGAGTATATATATATGAGTTTACCTTCAGTCTAAAAATCTACTGGTCAACGTTGAGTAATGATTAAACGATTGGAAAAACCACAGTAGTTTAAGACTTTTAGGTAGAACAGAATTGGGGCTTACTCTGAATAAATGTTATATATTGTAATTTCACAAAATATTTTGAACATAATGGTCAGAATTTAATTAAAGCTACAATATAGTTGGTTTGATAAATTCGTAGTAATAATGATTCTGTCAGTTGGATGATCAACAGTGTGATTCTTTTTTTTAATGTAATTATGTTTAAATATTATTTCCAAAGGGACATAAACACTTTCAAATCTCCCTCTTTCATTTGTAGATGAACACAAATGAACTTTATGTACACTGTATTTACAAAAGTGACTATTATAACGACTCATTACTTTTTCATTTCCTACGGATATAAATTTAATTATCAATATAAATTAGGGCATATATATTATGATAATTCTGCACTTGTATAAACCTTTTCTTCGGTTTAACAAAAGAAAAAAAAACATGTCACATTATCGAGAGCGATGAAATGACTCACTGACTTGAAACATTTCAGAGTACATGAAACTACACTCCAGTATTCGATAACTATAAACACTTACAATAAAGTATTAATTGTATTGAAGTAGAGTATTGACAAAATTCTATGTCTACTAGGATAGAATGTTATAATTTAGTTAGAGAATTAATTTATACAGCGAATTAGAGTGGAATTCTCACGATTATTTCAGACTACTTGGCTTTTTCAAGAATAAACCAGTATTTATTCATAATTTAGAGAATAGAAAAGTACAAATGATTTAGGGTGAAATAAACGTTGTGATCAGATTTATACTTGAAATTCAATAACTTTAAGACTAGCAAAATGTAAATCATTTTCATAGCAAATGTATTTAAAACTATTCAGTTGAGAAACTTACTTTACTTAATTCCGGTTTATCATTACCATCTGCCCAACCTACATGAATCTTTGATCGATTTCTGTGCCATGAATGATCACGGACAAATTTTACTGGACCAGCTGGAGCTGAACTGGCTGTACTTGGAGCGGAAGATGTACTACCAGTATTTGACACATTATCACTTGCTCTAGGTGGCCGACCATGTGGAACAGCAAAGGTTGAAGGGGCGGGAAACGGAAGTCCATCATCAAAATCAGCATCATCAGCAGAATATACATCATATCCTAGCGGGTCATAATCTTCCATGTAACACTCATCGTTTGCTGATGTTGTATAATAAGGTGCATTTACAGAATAATCTACTTTAACGGGCATAGTAGAATGCTTTTTGAAGTTAAGACGTGTTTTGCTCATCATCTTTTGTATACGACTGGGTTGTCTTGTAAACTCATTAGATGATAAATATTCAACATTCTCAGGATTAGATCTGTAGTTAAAACATATAATATTAAAAAGTTAGTCTTAGCGCGGACAGAGCAAAGATGAACACAAACGAAACTTATTTTATAAAAATGAAAAGAAGCTTTAATAAAAAATATAAGTCAAGCTTACTCAGTCTTTACTTCACGTTTACGATGTTTATTGAAAAAAGCAGATGCTGCTGAAATCAAAGGAGCACCTGGTCGACGACTTTTAGAACTTATAAATTTACTAGCCCGTCGTTTACCACCTTCAGAATTTTGATAATCTGAACTACCATCGGCAGAGCAATTACGATGAGTGTTATTGAATTCCGGGGGTAGAAGACCACGCATGTGATTGATCAACTTCCCTTGTTGTTCTGTAATAGTAGAAAGACGATGAACTTCACGCTCAAGTGCTTGTTGCGTTGCTTCGCCTAGTTCTTTAGCTCTCACTGTTGCCATTTCTGACTCTCGAGCGTCTTGACGAGCAGTATCACGTTGACTGAGAAGTTGTGTATTATTGAGACGAAGTCGTTCAACTTGAGTCCGCAGTTGATCTATCTGAAATATAAGATTAACGAAATTTAATTTGACAGTTTGTCTCGATCAAACAAAAACTGAACAATGAAAGTAGAAATAAACCTACCTCGTCTTGGAGTGTTTGTTTCTCATCAGTGAGAGTAACTAATTGATTATGCACTTCAGATGAATTTTCAGCAGTCTGTACAGTATGAAAAACGATATACGGAAGTAATTAACAAAGATGTACAGAATATGAAGTTAAACTATTGAAAATCTAATATATACTTCATAGAAATAAGTTGTATTTCAAAATCATAAGGACCTCCTTTAGAAGTCATTACTATCTATTCAAGTTTGTACAGATGTGAAATGAGAAGTGGCTGATATTTGCAAACATAAATGATATTGTCTTAAAATATTCTTCGATGTATGAAAAATTGGATGTTAATTTTAGTTTGAATTTTCTAACTTTTTAGTGTACAACTTGTAAACTAAATACAGTATATAAAACAGTTCACAAGACTAATTTTGTGATGATTAAATTATCAATACAATCAAAGTGTGACGCCTAATCAATGAAAATTCAGCACTAAAACAACAGAAAAACTTGATACTCAGCTTACAACTCTTAGAATAAATCATTGATACACCGATGAAAAGACATGGTGTTATACGAAAATAAACAGGTGATCTGAATGCAAGAGTTATCAACAGGACTCACATGACCTAGAGCAATAGAAGCCTGTAATTGATCATGTCGTGTTCGCAGAAGCGTCACTTCTTGCTTCAGGTCAGAAATCTCACGTTCATAGTTAGCTACGCGTTCGCTGAAAATAGACAACAAATAAGGAAGTTACAGTGAATAGAATACATGAAACACTTGTCAATAATCATATATTATTTGATTATTTACTAAAATAGAATATCAGTAGCAAGAATACCCGAGAAAAAATAAATCACAGGTAAAATTACTTGGGAAATATAATTCATCCAAACATACAAAAAGAATGTTTAAAACATTTCCCAACACAAAAATATATAAAGAAGATATTTACCGTAACAATTCCTCATTTTGTTTATATTGAATAAGTTCAGTTTGAGCAGTTCTCAACTGGGACCTTGTTGATTCAAATTCATTTCTCATTTGATCAAGAATAAGCTGTTTCGCAGGAAAAAAACAAAGGTAAAAAGATAAAATTAGGCTATTAAAATCATCCATATTATAACTTGAAGTAATTACAATGCAATAAAATGTACACTAGACTAGAAACAGTTTCAAAAGAAAATATTTAAACAGTGAAAGAAACTATACCGTTTGATTATGTGTAGTATTTAATCTTTCCAGTCGAAGTGTTGCTTCACGAAGAGAAATTTCAGCAGATTCTTTTTTCATTATTGCGTCATTTAATTGTAGTTGCATATCTGATAAGCGCTAAAATGATTTAAGGGAAAAGAATAAAATAATAAGCAAACAGGAGAATGACTTTAAGAAAACCCCCACTCTATCAACCACATTAAAATGATACACAAATTTGAAAACGAATCTTTTTTTCATGTATGAAAATCCTTAAAAATTAGGATTACAGTCTTAGAATTTTTTGAAAATAACAAACAAAATCAATTCAATGTCCATCACAGAATATATTGTATTAGTTACATGATGCAGAATATAAGAAAAGGTAAAAATGTCATCTACGAAAGTAGATTATTAGTTAAATGATATAATATGTCATCAGTCATAATAATCTATATCAACTGGGGAGACTTTTAGGTAGATATCAATCCTACAGACAAAGACATCTAAGAACGCATATAAAAGTAATAAACATCCTATGAACAAGGTAATCAGAACAGAAAGACGTCGTACTTGTGGAAAGACCTAGATAAATCGACTTCTATTTGAAGTTAATACCGAGGATCCCATTTAAAATAACAGTGAAAGGCCATACAATGAATGTTGTATGTAAAAAAGGTTATACCGCATAAATTAATTTAGTTTAACTAACCTGAGAGTCGATTGCTGAAAGTGAAACTAAACGACCACGTTCAGTAAGCATAACTGCAATTTGATCTCGTAGACTTTTTAATTGCGTTTCCGCTTTATCTGCTCGTTCTTCTAGTTGACGACGTTCAGATTGCTTATCATTGAATAAATGCTCTTTCTCCTTGAAAACAAAAGAAAACAATAGTAGATAATTACAAATTGTTGGAGAAATATGTGAAATTGATGAAATTACAAAATACAAATAACAAACATTTAGTACGATTAAAAGAATATGATCAAGTTACAAAAATAACAGTACATGTGAACAGATAAAAACATTTAGGTTATAATGGGAAAAAGGTAACAACATCATATGTAACATTGATTATAACATTTTTTGGAATATTTCACTCAATGGTTTCAAAAGCTTTGATCTTTGGTCTTAAGGTCACAAATGTACCCACACATAGTAAAGTGTGACAATATATTGTTCATTATTATGATTTATATTTAATTTTAGTTTATGGAGCATCACGAGAACAATAAATGAACGAATTTGAACAAAAATTAGCATATACCAAGTCATTTTACCAACTTTAAGTCAATCTGAATGAATTTATTATACATCTTATTGTCAACTTGGATTCATTTCATGGCTTCTAGAGCTGATTTAATAGCATTTTTCCCCATCCACAATAGTGTATACACATGATCATAATCAATTTAAAAAATATCACGAACTAACTACGCATCAAACGATAAAAAGGACGTAATCGAAGAGTACTTACTGTTCTTACATTATCCAACTGCTTTCTCAATTCACTTAATTCGGACCCATTTTGTTGTGTTGCTTCTTGCAAGGCATTTCTTAAAGCTGCAAGTTCCCGTTCCACTTCCTTATTACGTTCAACCAATAAACTAAGTTGACCACTAATATATAAATAAGAAAAACCATCATCAACTGTATCAGTAATTATGAAATAGCAAAACTTCAATCATATATGTTTAATGACAGTAATCGAAAAGTTATTACTTGTCTTTTCATAAGTCTACTAAAACTTGATATCAACTAACAAGATGAATTGTTGTTTAACGAAAATCATTTATCAATTTTCCAATGTACTAGTGAGGCATTACAAAAAGAAAAGCAAAAACAGATAATGTAAATATGGCTAAAATGATTTTGACAACCTCTCTCTCATCTTGATAGCGATTTTAAACAAAATGGCCATTAACAATAAAGCATCGGATCAAAACAAAGAAGAATAAAAATACATCACATCAACAGATTTTGAAATAACCTAGGTGTTTGCTGAAGAGAGTGGTTTAGTATCATACCACTGAAAGTAGTTAACCAACAATCATTGTATTCTTGGGGGACATAGCTAACTTAAAATTCCCTACTGTTTAAATTATTATGAGGTACTGTTAAAATTTACAATGAAGCATATAAACAACACAAAATATACTACAGGTAAACAAGTATACTACCGAGTTCATACGTGAATATATCATTGATGTACAAATCATTTGGTTCCGAGATAATTTTGATAATAAAAAGATATATTTTAAAAACTAAGAGTAGATTTAAAATTGCAGAAGAGCTTACGATTGTGTTTGCAATTCAGATGAATTATTCTGTTGTTTTTGCACTGAGTTAAGTGTCAATTGTTCAAGTTTCTCTGTAATCTCTTTGTTTTTCTATAAGACAAAAAGTGAATTAGTAAAATAAAGTCAATAGAATTTATGGAATACGTATTTTGACTCTAATTCCTTAAAGTAACAAATATAACTTGATAAGAATTCAAATAATTGATATAATGGTAATAAGTCAAATATCATAGCCAGCCAGTTAGTCATAAGCAGCGTAGGACCCAGTACTTATGAGTATCGCTTCAAGTTTTCATACTAAACTATTAGTATAGTGAGATAAAATTATCAAGACAAATGTAAGTGATAGAAGTAGTAACAGAAAAGATTGGGGATGAACAAAATGATTCAGCAAGAAATAACGAATTTAAGGGATGCAAAGTATAAGATAATTTTGAAACTCAAGATATAACGGAAAACAAAGAGTAAAAGAATCTGTGCCGCTTCAATTGATTATAAGTCATACCACCTAATGTCTCCAACCACTGGTTACGATGACTGTGGACTCCAATCTAATAGTCTGAGTCTGTCAAAAAGGTTTAGTCCACAAAATACTGTAAATAATACAAGTTTTCAAGTTAACTCAATCAAACGGAGTTGTCTACATACTTTGGCTATAAGATTTTTAAAATCAATTTTAAGCATGATCATTCAAAGCTAGTGGACTACATTGGTACAATTATACGAAAGTTCACTACGTAGTAGAGATTGAAGACAATGACAAGTCTGCATTTCTGTTACAAAAACGACAGTAAATACAAAGGCTATGGTTTTAAGTCTTTCACTGACTAGGACTCGAAAACATTAGTTAATCGTAGTATCGATTATATCGTGAGACGAAAACGCTCATTACAGACAACAACGTTATCTAGGTTATTCGTTAGCAATTGCTGTTGTGCAAGAAATTTAGACTGTCATGGTCGCGTGTACGTAAAATTAAGTTTCTACAGCTACAAGTTACATAACTTTTGGCTGATAAGTTCTAGTTCCTCTCTTCAAGAAACTGGGATAAAAGTGATTTGCATAAAATTAGTTTATTAACGATGGCAAACCTTTTCTTCTTCTTTTAACCTCTCTCGTGCTGAGAAGTATTTGTCTTCGAATTGCAAGAACTTCTGGTGTAAATCACGTTGATAATCCTTCGAATCTTCAAGCTTTTGTTTCAATTCCTGCAGAAATGAATATTAAAATAAAACGGTTAGCTATAGAAACTCTTACATTAGTTGAACACATCTACAAAAGTAAGCCTTGCATCATACAACAACTGCTAATTTTCTGATACTCAATTAGACGACACTGATATAGGAAATATGAAGACGATGTGAAACACAACTATACCCAGACATGTTCAGTGTACTAGGCTTATAAGCCACATCAATATACAAAGGTTACCCAGAACTCTTTATGTGGGAAGGTTTTTCAACGTGGTACTGACATGGTTTTATGAATAGATGAATAAGCCAAATACCAACATACTTCCGAAACAGGAAATAAAGCACATTACGATCAATAGGATAAATTACATATATACAGAAAATAAATCGTCTCAATACAATTAACACAACTATTTGCCCCCTATAATGAGTATTTATTATTAATTAATACAAACAATTTAACATAAAAAACACTAAGTATATTCCACTTGATATCTTGACAATCTGGGTCAATATCTGTATTAATTCAGAACTGAAATGACTCTAGACATAATTACAGTCAGTCAGTCAGTCAGCTACAACGTAGGACCAGGCACATGTATGCATCGGCCCAGGTTGCCATACCTCATTAGCACAGCAAGATGAACACTGGATTCATAGGAGTGGTTAGGTCAAAGGTGGTAATAAATAAGAGGAAGATTGCAATAAGGATATAGTATAGGAAGAAAGAATTAGTTAGTAGAAAGAAAGATATGAAGTGATCTTAATCTCTTAGTTTAAGAGAAGACAAAGAGTGTATACACCGACGCCATTGTGATCGATTCTGAGCCATGTCACCAAGAGTCTCCAACCATTGGTTACGAAAGTCACGCGGACCCCAACCAAGTAGTCTGCATCTACCAACATGGCTCAGACTAGAAGTTAGTGACTTCAGGCACTGATGCCACGTTTTGGTTTGGCCGCCCCTAACTTTCTTCCAACCATCCCCTACACCGGTTAGCATTGCACGTCGCGGTAATCGGTGCTCAGGCATACGTAATACGTGGCCCAACCATCTCAGTCGATGAAGATTCATAACCTCATCAACTGATTTACCATCATTCCCTAATACCCTGCGTCTAACCTCACTATTACTTACCCGGTGATCCCAGCAGATGCCAGCAATATTTCTAAGGCATCTGTGGTCAAATACTAGTAGCTTACGGGTGTCTTCTACTCTTAAGGGCCATGTTTCGCTGCCGTAAATTAAAACAGAACGGACAGCCGCGCAGTATACTCGTCCTTTTATTGATAGACGGATATCTCGCCTCCGCCATAGGTGACGTAAGTTGGCAAAAGCCAAACGAGCTTTACGAATCTGTGCTGAGATTTCGTCAGACACCAACCCATTAGGGCTGATCAGACTTCCAAGATAAGTGAAGTTGTCAACACGTTCGACTACTTCACTCCCTATCCTTAGTTCAGGTGTTGACGTAGACCAGTCCTGAAGCAACAACTTGCATTTAGAGGGAGAGAAGCGCATCCCAAACATTCTGGCATTGTTGCTTAGTGCTACCAGAAGACTCTGCATTTTGTCAGCGTCTTCACCAAACAGGACTATGTCATCTGCATATCCTAAGTCGATAAGTGGACCTCCTGGAAGGAGATCAATACCCGAGAATTCAGTCGACGAGAGTGTTATTTCCATCAATAGGTCTATGATGAAGTTCCATTCACTATGTCTGGGAATGGAGGGTAGTTGTAGAGTAGCTGAGGGCCAGCTGAACTGTTCTCTAAAATGTTCCGCCCATCGTTCTAAACGTCTGGACTGGGAGCAGATGAGAGTATCATCTTTTTCCGAAATAATCTCACTTACACTTGACTTATTAGTTCCAGTTTCTTTTATTACATGTATCATATAAACTCGTAGATAATATAAAGAGATAATTATTGGGTATAATAAAATCAATTATGCGAAAACCTAACTAACAAACTATCTTTCTGCATAAAATTAGGTCTTCGACCACATTATCAATAAACAAGACTTAAATATCACAGACAGAGAATGTGATATTAACACTTGCACAAAAGAGAAAATCAATATTTTGTTTGGATGACTATATCAATTGACGGACGAAAGAATACTCACAAATGATACGTCAAACTGTTAACAAGTACACGATCTATGTTTGGTATTACGTTCATTAAGAAACATGTATAACCCCATTTGTCGTTAAACAGATATTTCTGAATGATTACAAGTTAAATAACAGAGGAAAAACTAACTTTAATTTCCCAATTAAGATTGCTCTCAGTCTCACGATAACGACGTTGATCTGCAATTAATCCATCAATAGTTTCCACCAATTGATTAACTTGTTGCTTTGATTCATCTAAAGCTTTCTTCAGCTCAGCATTAGTCGATTCTAATGCATAACATGATTGTCTTGCACGATTAGAAGCATGTTTAAATTGTTTGAGAGCGAAATTGATAAGACGATGAACTAATTCATAGCCAATAAGATTATCTGATGAACTAGATGTACGTATAGTTGACAGTGAAACATCAGCGAGCATTTCAGGTGTTGTGTAAACTGTAGGTGGACATAGTGCAGTTAGCAGATCAAGTAAATCCGCTTCTGTAAAATTACTTGGCAAATTTGAAAGACGAGACTGAGATTTAAAAGTAGAATAAAATCACAGAGTACTGAATTATGATAAGTTTCTTACAATGTGAAAGAAATAGCGACAAAATAATAAAAACAACATTTATGGATCTACAACTTAAAAATACATTGTCGAGATGGTGCAGAGAACAAGTTGTCCATCATATCTCCAGAAATTTGAATAACGTACGTCCACCTGGACTTTATGCTGATGCTACTTAGAAGAATAATGAAAACTACACGATTAAACCAACTACCTCAGAGAACGAAACTCCACTAAAATATTATGTTTTAAAGGAACATATTTATGTATCCAGAATAACAAATTACTATAGTAAGTAGATCTACTTTTCATCACCACAACAAAAGACATTGAATTCAAGTATATTAAACTACTAGGAATTTATTTGAGAAAAGGCTTGGAGAATCAAGTACATCGATACAACTAAGCTTCTGAAATTAACCAACAAATAACTTGAGTTTACAAAATAAAGACCCACGTAAATATAGGACTAGATAAAATTTCTCCTAAACACAGTTGAAATATAAGACTAATTTACTATTTCGTATAATTTACTTGTAAATTTTTATTACTTAAAAAGTTAGTAAAACGTACACTGGAAAATCTTTAAATTTGACCCGTGAGAAAATGATAAAATAAGATTTCTTTATACAAAATGTTGGTCCGTCTACAACCCCTATAAAATTATCGAGCATAAATACGATGGAGTATTAAGTAACTCCTTTTTTAGTAGTAAAGAATTACACCCGAAGTGATAAATTAAAATATCATACTTAATGATTTGGAAATGGAATTTAACACTTTAGAAATTCTGCACGTCAATAGCACTAACCAATGGAGTAAAGATTTTTCTCAGCTTAGAAGTCGATTTGTATCGGTTGTTTGAATCTTCCCACTGATGTTTAGGAGTGAAATTAACCAATCTCATTTCGGAATATGTGCCTTGATATTGCCATTAATTTACAAACACTATAACCAGAGATGGCTGGTCATTAGCAGTGGAATCCAGGGTGAGTGTTTCGTCCTATCTGATACTCGTCAACTAGGTATGCCTGGATTCCAGAATTGATGCTTATTTCGGGACTCAAACGTCAATATCTAGGCAAGATGCACAAGATGCATATATGTCAAAAGAAATTGATCGATTGCGTAGATTAGTTCGAGTCTTGGAATGAACATCAACCGACGAGTCACAAATAGGACGAAACGCGCATCCTGGATTCCACTGCTAGCCACCAATCATTTCTGTTTAGGGTTTGAATTCATGATTTCTAAGAAATACTCAAGCAACAATAAATGACATACATCATCTTACAACAAAAGATTATACTAAGGTCATAATACTAAAAAGAGCAAAAATGCATACCACAGCGTGTTGCAATTGATCCACTATAGCTTGTGCCTGTTGACAACTTTGTACTGAAGCAGTCAAACGAAAATTTTCTTCCTGAAGGTGTTTTATTCTAGAATTCAAATGACCAACAGTAGACCTATTACGAACAAAAAAGGGATGACATATATTATGGGTAAGATTAGTAACTATCGTCAGGGAAGAACTTGAAAACTGGAATAACAGAAAAGCTAACCAAAATCTTAGAAACAATAATAATTATACAATATCATATAAAAATGCACTACGGTAAAAAAAATTTCACACTAAAAACCCTAATTATATGAAAGTGAATTAGAAGACTAACTTTTCTTTCTCAACGACTGTATCAGAAAGAACACGTACAGCTTCATTAATTTCTTTCAGGACATGACCATTGTCGAATGCACTTAATAATCGTTGACGTAAATCCTATACACAACATAAATAAACAAGGTGAATTACACAATCAGATTGCCTTACAGACATAAACAGAAGAGATACAACAAATAAATGATATATATCAAGTTACTGTTAAGTGTTAGTTAAGCTCACATGAACCATAAAGAAAACATAAATTAATAGACAAATAAAACAAAATTGTAAAACAGTTTTATTTACTAACTAAACGCCATTTAGTGAGTTAATAAAAAAACCTACAACAAATAGGAAGTTATTTTAATTGACCTTAAAGAATTAAAGAAATAGTAACACGAAAATAGATCAACATTCGCAACGACCATATGCTTAAACTTTCCTACTAGTTAACAGTTTAACGTAGTTATGTAGGTCTTGTCTAAATATTTTGTAAGAATATGTGAGCGACAATACAAAAAAACGTATTTTACATAAACGTCAAATACTGGCCACTTTTTGTCTTTTAACAAAACCAAAAAGCAATAAAGAATATACTCTGTTGTGACGATAGAACCTAGGATAACGATAGGTTGAAAATAAATAAGCTATGTTTTTTAATGTACCATGAATACAAGTATATACAAAAGTGATGAAGACTAGTACTAACATTCACACGTTCAGAAGTATCCAGTGATATAATTGACGAATCCAAATACTGCTCTTAAGATCGACTAGACAAATAGATAGTTTTAGTATGAACAAAGTAGGACAGATGAAACAATCACGTTTTGAAAGTTAAATAACATGAAAGATTTAAGGAAATTATTGTGAAAACATGTGAATGACACAAATGCTGTCAACAGTGATATGAATTTCGTTAATGATTGACAAACCAATGGAAAATAAAGTGACAATCGGCCCATAACGAGATTATATATAAAATATCGTAAAAATCAACATACCTCAGACTCTTTATTCTGTAGTTGTAGCTGTTCAATTTGTTCACATAACTGTCGATTACGTTGCTGAAGTTCAGATAAACCGACGATTTCAGGATCACTCGTTTTTTTGGCATCCTTAAGTCGCCCAACGTCAGAACAACCAATGCTATGTCTAAGTGATGTAGATAATGAATCTTGGTTTTCAATAAATGTTCGTCTGTAAGGTGTGCTATATTAATAATGAAGCAGGAGGAACAATAATACAATATTAATAAAAGTGAAAGTTTCTGGTTTAGAAATAATATTGAGGAATATAACATATGCTACAACTAACTGTAACTTTCTTTTCAACATTAATTATCGACTTTATACTCACTAAGACAAACTATGAGCTGTGACACAGAGAAGAGTCTGTATAAAACGGTTAATTGGTTTCAAATAGTGGCATTATAAACGTGATATGAAGAAGTATAACAAGTTATGCGGATGTATTGTGGCGTGTGCTACTTATATCGACATGATATTTTGCAAATTAAGTATTTACTGTACGGCTATCAGATTTTAGTACGGTGCTCTGTAATTTTGTTTTCAAATACATTCGATTGCACCCACTTGTGTTCTTGTTCACTACATTATTATGCTAATTTACCGGATTGAAAAAAGTTTAGATCCTATTTAACCTCAAAATTGGAAATTCTATTATTGTCATCATAAAGAAACTAACTAATTGACATATTTAAAAAAAGTATTGATATTGAAAATCTTTCAAGGAGAAACTCGGAGTGGCCAACATATGAAAAAGACAAGAATGATAACTGATTGTAGAACGAAATAGCAAGAAACAACCAAATGTATACCATCAGAATAGTTGCCGTTTCTACACTTCACCATCATTGGCGTGAACGAAAACAGACAACAAGGAAAGAAATGTAATCTGTACTTGATAAATTAGTCACATTACCTGATAAATCAGTGTTTCTTTCAATTTTAATGAGAAGCAATTAATGACTAAACATACGTAACATAAAGTAATATACTAAGACTCCAACTAAATGATAAATAGCCATTCAACCAAGGATTTAGCTTTAAGACCCAAATATAAATTTCCAACAACAATAAAAATACATAAAATTAAATCTGACTCGTAGAGAAGCCAAATTTGATGGGTTAAAAACTGATGTAATAGAAATACACTAATTTCTAAACAAAACATTCAATTAAGTCATTTGATAGAAAGTATTACAATAAGATTGAAACATATTACATCACGGTAATGTCTGTTAAGGATCCTCTGGTGGATTACAAGTACAGGAAGAAAACTTTGAAAAAAGTTCTACAATTCGTGAATTTGGGGAATATAAGCAACATACGAATAAAAACTGTTTGAGACCATTTGTGGGTACTAATCTGAATAAACAGGACCTAACTTTTGAGAATCGTGATCTGTTTGAATATCGACCTCAGTTTATATGATACAACATGAAAGCAAAATATGAAAATATGAGATATGCTTATTGAAAGTATTAAGTATCACGGTAGTGAAGGTCTATCAACAAGATAACCAACCAATGATTATATTCAAGACACTGGACCAACTGAAGCAGCTACCACGCACACGGTTACAATGTAGAAAACAGAAGACAATGACAATTAGCAAGGGATTTGGGAGACTGTTATTTGAAAGTCTTAACAAAACAGGAACAGTCCGGATAGACCAACAGTATTGGCAAATTAAATGCTAGCAAAACGGTTACAACCCGAGTATTTGGAATGCACTAAAGACTACCTGATATTAGCTATTACTGATGTTCCAACATGAGCAACGGCGGTCGAATGAACCTGTTTCTTGGAAAGGTTTCCGAATAATACCAATCCAGGTGTATACGTATATCCCAAGAATGGTAAGTCCCGGACACACTCAGAACCTTCCCATTCTATATCTTCTATTTCTTCAATTTCTTCATTTATTGGTACAGCAGCAGCTTCTTGAATTGCTTTTCTTTTTAATACTTCGGGGGACAACAGTGATTTATGTGGATTAATATTCTCCTGATTTTCATCATTCAAAATTTCAGTATCTAAAGGCTTTACCAGCACAGTTTCGTCTTCTTCGTTTTCTTCATTGTTTAAAGTAACACACTGAGTGACATATCCGTCTTGAACAGATGACTTTGTATAACGTATTGGGGAGAAAGTCTGGTTCCTAGAGACATCCAATATAGCCTCATCACGAGCACGAGAACCACCGCCGGAAAAATTTGAAACATCGTCTAACTCACCAACTGGGGGCAAGTATGGAGGAGTGACTATACAAAACAAGACAACAGGAATCATAAATAATGAAAACTTAAGATGGGTATACAATTAAAACGTACGTTTAGGAATCCCGAGTCATATTGCTATCCAAAGAAAACCACGAAACTCATCACCCTGTAGACACATTTTGTTGTAACTCAGATTCAAATCATGCGTATTGAATAAAAGTAATGCAGAGGATTGTGGCTTATCGACAACATCAATGAATGATCAATTATTGACAGAAACAGACTGGAGACAACCAGCAGTGATGTGCCACGAAGGGTAAAAGAAGACGCATAAGCGACTTATAATGGTAGAACTTTGATATTTACTGAGACAAAAAGACCTATATGGATTGGTGATTAAGTATGTGATTGGATGAGAGTGCACTGGAGGGATACATACTGAGAAATACGTCTGGGATTTTATCACCAACAACGTTGCCTGAATGTAGACTTAGATTAAAATATACAACCCATCAAATACAAAACATAAGTCATAAATTAAAACAAATAAACCAAATAAAACACAAATTAAAAGTAAGCAACAAAATAACTAACCTTGTCTCAATGCAGAGAAATCAATATCTTTGAAAAATGGATGCATAACAACATCTTCATAACTTAACCGTTTCGATGGACTAATAATTAGTGATTTAATTAAATGAATAGCACAGTCTGTTATTTCAGCGGTTGCAGGGAACTTGAGTGTTTTCTTCACAAAAAAAAACATACAAATAAGCATTATTTGATTAAACAGATGATAATGAAAGAAGTTACCCGATAATCCATAATTTTCTGCATCATTGCATCATCATCTTCATCGTAGAAAGGCGTTTGTCCATAAAATAATTCATATAATAAGACACCAATCGCCCAATAATCGAATTCAGGCCGACAAGTAATGGTTCTTGATTATGACGTCCACGTTGTCGTAAAAGTTCAATGTTCAGATATTCTTTTGTCCCAACCATTGTAGGACAGACACACTAATGTCAATCAAAAAAAAAGAAAGAACAATCAGATCAACTCAGCACGTGAACATATGTTTATGTAATGGTGCTCAAAATAAAAATGGCAGTCGATTAAAAAGTCACTAAATCAAAAACAGTTAAACATTAGTGTCACATCTAAACAAACTTCTCTAATCAACTAAATGACTGATTGATGAATAACTAAAGTGTGTATTATATTTCTTGTCAAAGGAATTCATATGCGGACTGAATGAAGGTTTACAATTAAATCTGGTTTCATAAAATACAGACGATTTAGTGGGTATGTGGGGGGAAGTATATTTATTTTGCATTCATCTTTTTTAATAGAAAAGGCGAAACGTTTAGTGAACCATAACATGTGTCGATGCATTAACAATACAAAAACCAGTTTAAACACGATTCAACTAGAGAAAAGATAAAATGAAAAATTTAACATTTTGAGTCGAAATAATTTATGAAAGAAATTGGTCTGGCGAAATCAAGTAAATGACATTCTTAGTTATTAGTTTGTATCTAACGTGACTAACCCACTCTGACTGGGTATTATTGAATGAGTGACAAAACTTCATAATTATGGTAAGGTGGTTGTTCTCTTCCATGTACTACCTATCATACCAAGGTGATGTAGCATATCACTCGAAAAAATGAACAGAAACTAGCGACCCGCACGATGGTAACAGCTACCATACCACAGCAAATTATCATCATTCGTTGGTGTGTGTGTGGAAAAACCAGCACGTTGGGTGTCAAGTTTAGGCTACGTGGATTAACCAACGAGATTTTAAACCCGTGCCCCATTAACTTATCGATCAGTCGTTCGATACACGTGCTCATTATATTTAAACACCAATTAGTTTCGTTTTCTGTCTTGATTGAAGATGGAAATGAAAGCGATCTGTCTACGAAATAACACAAATATATTCAGTGATTATTAATCGAAACACTTTGTTCACCACTTATTTAGGTTTGGTAAATATTTAAAAACATTTATTAAGATAAGTGATACATATGAGCTGAGACTATATATTTCTGTATACCTTGAGCAGTTGGTAATACAAAATAGCATCTATTCTACAGTCTCGTTTTATATTTCCATGAGATGTTTTTGCGGAATCGAGTACAGTTGTATCGGAATAGTGCTCACCGATTCACCACAACTTTCTAAATGAAGACCCAGGGATCAGAAGTAACCCGGCAGATAAAAATGTGATCAACCATCGCTTAATTGAAAATCAGACAGGTATCCTGATCTTCCATTACTTTTAATAAAAGGCAAGGGGCATTTCTTATCCGAATGTAATTTATTTCGGTTATGTCCTTATTTCAACTATATCTCATAGTACTTCTCACCATTTCCTGAATAATTTTCCTATAGTCTTCTGTCACAAGCTGTCACAAATAAAATAATGAAAATCTCTTGTCCAATTTTATTTGTTTATTGTTTCGACTTTTTAGGATAAATTGAAACAAAATTTTAAAGAATTGTACCACGATTACTTCGACAGTTGTCCAAAAACCAAGCGATAAAAAAGGCAAACTTATATTTAATACTAGAGTAGATGGAAAAGGCTACTAGCTATAAGAAAAGCAGAAACAATTATGATAATAAATGGTAAGAATAACAACTCTATATATTGTTACGGAACAAAGACTAAATGTATAGCGAATTGCTAATTAGTGAAGACCAGAGATATAGAGGTAGTAAATCATACGATAACCCCATAAAAACATGAATGGTCGATGATGATAAACAGCCTAGTTAACCAGGCTTATACTCGCCGAAATAAGACCTTTGGAATTGACTTGAAAAATGTAGTTCAATCCACGAATAGTCATCAAGGTATTTAAACAATCACATATAAGACAAAATTATACACTTGAAATTACTTTTCCATCAGCATCAAGCCTGATAGCCGAACCAAAATCAATTAGCTTCAGGTGTCCACTCCTTTCAATTGCGAAATTTTCAGGCTTTAGGTCACTAAAAGATAATAAAGTAATTTTCAATTATTAGTCAAAATCAAAAACGATAAAAATGTCCTCAAAAATCATTATGGTTTATCATTTATAGGAAGTCATATAGTGAAACTATAATGAAATTCCAAGTCATCTTTACCTAGAGAATTTGAGAAGATATAATCACAATAAGAATAAACTGCCAGTAAATAAACATACCAATGAATATAGCCCATTTGGTGCAGTGAATGAACGGCTTCCACAGCTTCAGCACAATAAAACTGTATCATTTTTGAATCCAACAAATGACCAACTCTGAAAGCAAAATATATCAAGAGACTTTAATCTGAAACAATTCAAGATGCTCGATTTTAAAAAAATCACTAGCCAAAAGTGTAGCTACATGAAAATCAACAGTAGAGTCAGTCCCAACTTGATAGTTAATCTGATAGTAGTGCAAGTTAGTAATTAAGTATACGTTGCCCGGTTTTAGCCACACTTCCGGTCAAGCCTAATGATATCACTCGGTTGTTTATATGGAAATATTTATAGCCACATGCGAACTCTTAACATAGTGATTGAAAGAAGAAAGATTCAACCACTAACCCAGTGCTCTATTCAGACACTAGTTAGATGATATACGAAAGAAGTAAATATTAGTGACAAAGTGCGAACGATATCAGTTAGTCAGTCAGTTACAACGTAGGACCAGGCATATATATCCATCGGTCCAAGTTGCCACACCTCATTAACACAATAAGATGACTAGTATTGGAGACGTTTGGAAGAAAGTTAGGGCGGCCAAACCAAAACGTGGCATCAGTGCTTGAAGACACTAACTTGTGGTCTGAGCCATGTTGGTGGATGCAGAATACTTGGTTGGGGTCCGCGTGACTATCATAACCAGTGGTTGGAGATTCTGTGTGACATGGCTCAGAATCGATCACAATGGCTTATGTGTGTACACACTTCCTCTTCCCTTAAACCGTGAGATTAAAATCGCTTTATATCTTTCTTTCTACGAACTAATTCTTCCTGTATTATATCATTATATGCAATCTTTCTTTTATATATTACTACCATTGAAGTAACTACTACTATAGATTTGGTGTTAATCTTAATGCGCTAATGAGGTGGCAACTTGGACCGATGCATATATGTGCCTGGTCCTACATTGTAGCTGACTGACTGACATTTGAAATATCGAAACTCTTCCAAACCATTGATATGCTTGGAAACGAAATACTTCATTCTGTTGATAATCTCTATCTGAGGGAACTATAACTTACTTTGTGAATAGATAACTTATTCAGTGTACAACCACAACTTAAATTTTACTACACAATCTATAAGTGCTTTTAAAGACATGAGGGCGGTTGATTTTTGCCGGTTGCTTACACAGCGGAAGGGTATTTCTCCTTGAGGGACCCGAAAAAAAAGAAGACTGGATTATCAGCGATCGTAGTGACTTGGGAACATGGTCACAAATTCCAAGGGATACATGGACTTTCTGTAAGTTTCTGATGTGGTCACTTCGTGATTGGAAGGACATTAACACTGAAAATAAGAATCCATGGGATAAAGTGAAACGCGACATTTTCAGGGTCAATTTTTCCTAACCGCTTTTTTCTGTTATGAGAAGGCAGCAACATTGTAGATGTTAGTTGCCTGAGGAAAATATCTTGCTGCTGTCACGCTTCAGTACAGTCAGCAGTATGACTTCGCTATTTGACCATGAGTTTGCTGTTTTTAGTCTAACTATTCTGAAATCGACGTGTTAGGCATCGTCAGACCTAAAGAAACATTTGTTCCAGTCAATATACCTCGATCGGATCACCACGATAAGCAAACCGGACAAGTACGTCAATGTAGCAGTCTTTTGTTAGAGTCCCATTTGTATTTTGCGTTGATCACCCTTAACAGCAGCATATAAGAACAAAGAAAGCACGTGATGTTGGTTGAGTACCTGTAAAACGAGGGTTTACTTGGGTAGTGTTCTTATCAGTCCCACAGAATTGACACTGGACTGTGTAATAAACTACCTTGTCCGGACTGAATATATGTCTTTGTTTATCACCAAATATAAAGTCGACGAAAAGCGGCTTATTTATAATCGATTCCCAAAAATACAAACATATCATTCACTGTGACACGAGCAGCAATCATCTCATGTTAATATACGTGTAGATGCAACAATGTAGAACGCGCATTTCTGCAATGAGCTAAGTTGTTCATTTATTTTTGCCTTCTATACATCCAATCAAAGCAAAAATATGAAATAGATTACTCCGATTAGTATGGTTTGTTTAATTTTAGAATTATACAGATATTTACATAAAATTCTGTTCCAATGCTTTACCTGCGGTTTTTGGTAGAGAGACATTTTTATTTAGCCTAGATTAGTATGGAGTTTCTATCTTAAGCTAAAGACAACTTCGTTAGCTAATTTTCATTGTGATGCACATATAACAAACAATAGTTACAATTTATGCTAAAATTGGTCAAGGAGGTCGCTCACTTGCTTAAGAATATATACAAATCGCCACCGGGTTCATAGTCCATCACAAGATGCAAGTGCTTTTCATCTTGAAATGCATAATGCAGGTGTGGAAGCCATGGATTTTCAATGGCAGTTGCTTGCGCTAACACAGTCCTTTCAAGCAGAATCTGAGAGCCCTCCTAAATAGGCAAATAATGCAAATAAATTATAAGGATGACCTACCGGATCATGATGCAACCACGCTCCTTTAAACTGAGATTTCATTGCATACACTGAATGAGGTGGCGATACTTCACGTACTACACGTACTATTCCACAAGCCCCTCTACCAACACATGCGCCCAGCTTGAAATCCGACAATTTGAGACGGAATTCTGATAATCGAGTAATGATTGGCTTCACTACGAGTAAAGAAAATGTCTGTAAGATAACTTTTATCAGTGATGTAGATTAATAATAAAGTACGTGGTAGATTACGGACAATACAAACTTAACTATCCAACATCATAAAATATTATATTACTTATGTGAATGACAGAAAAAACCTATAGATTATAACTACGGAGAAAAATCCATTAAAAGTTTTCCTGACAACTAAACACCACGTGGATTGAAAAATACATTACCTCGTCTTCGGAAGAATTTCGCAGCCAAAACGGTAGGAGAGTGTTCGTATTCATCAATCCCCCGATTTTCTGGATTATCCATACAGTCATGATAGATTTGATCAACCAAAGAATTCGTTACGAATAAACAGTCTAGAAGACCGTCGATCGATAACAAACACGGATCAGGATCAATCGGACGATTTCGTTTGTTAGCGGGTAGGATTTGATAATTATTCTGCGAACCTTTTTCGAATGAAAGACTGATTCCCATGCTGGGAGAAAAAAGAAGCGGAGGCCTTGTTAAGAGATCAAATAAGTAACTCGCACGTTGAGATGTCCAGCCCAAACGTAAAGCATCTTCTAGATAGACCATGCTGTTATTGCTGTTTCGAGATTTCGTTTTAACCTGAAATATACATTTATCCTGAGGTGTCTCCACACCATCAGTGTTCATTTCAATATCCAAATTAGCTTTCTTATCTTTCCGTTTTACATTACTTTTAATTTCGACCTGTAAGTGATGTGGAGTTGAGGAGATTAGGAAATTATCAATGGATTTTATCGGTGAAGCCATTCTTAACCTAAAAGTAAATCTTCCTTTATTAATGAAACAATAAATTTTAAAAGAAGATGACGCACAGAAAAATATTTATTTTTCATACATATTCGATGACAGTGTCATTTGGAAGGAATTAATTTAAAAATATTTGTAGGAAACGAGGCCGCAGTTTTAAAAGAACTTGATAGGTACAAAAGCTGTTTAGCAGTACTCAAACGTACTGCGCGTGTTAGCATTGTCGAAAGGAACTGTACATGATTGTCAAATTGCTCAGAAAGAAACTCAATTTTTCGTGTAAAACGTGAAGTTTCATAGTTTGGAGATAAAAGGCTTTTTAACCATAATTCTCGTAGCTGAAGGCCCATATTGCAAAGGTTATATATCTCTGTAAAAAGAAGCGAAGTAGATTCGGTTAATAGGCACACGGACTGTAATTCATTGAGCAAATTTTTATGATCTTGCACAAGATCAGAGAAAGTATTTGTTTCGGGGATATTGTGATTGATAGATGTAGTAGAATAAAATTCAGGAAGACACCACTTAGATGAAAATCGAGTTCGGATAGCTTCAATCCTGTGTGCCAAGAAATCATGTAGGCTTGTGAAGATAAACAACATTTTTATACGTAGTATGATAAGATAGTGGTTGATGGGGAAACAAGTTGAAACTCTTTTCTCTGGAGTGCTGAAATGTAAGTTTTCAAGACTCCATTTAACGTATTTAATCTGAAGGATAAGTAATACAAATTTCATTTAATTGAGATAAACGCTGAAATGAAACAAGTGATCAAAAGTGTTTAAACGACACTGCACAAATAAAAATATGAGAATGACCGCGCCAAATTCCGTAGAGAATAAATGACTAAAAGTTTATAAACTGCTAAAATTCCATCTTTACAAATGGCAAGACATAAACCACCATATATCTTATGGCTATCGTTCCCCCCCCCCCAAATAACAAGTCAGTCAGCTACAATGTAGGACCAGGCACATATATGCATCGGTCCAAGTTGCCACCTCATTAGCGCATTAAGATTAACACCAAATCTATAGTAGTAGTTACTTCAATGGTAGTAATATATAAAAGAAAGATTGCATATAATGATATAATACAGGAAGAATTAGTTCGTAGAAAGAAAGATATAAAGCGATTTTAATCTCACGGTTTAAGGGAAGAGGAAGTGTGTACACACATAAGCCATTGTGATCGATTCTGAGCCATGTCACACAGAATCTCCAACCACTGGTTATGATAGTCACGCGGACCCCAACCAAGTATTCTGCATCCACCAACATGGCTCAGACCACAAGTTAGTGTCTTCAAGCACTGATGCCACGTTTTGGTTTGGCCGCCCTAACTTTCTTCCAACCATCATCAACACCGGATAACATTGTGCGTCATGGTATTCGGTGTCCAGGCATACGCAACACGTGGCCCAACCATCTCAGTCAATGAAGATTCAAAACCACATCAACTGATTTACCATCATTCCCTAGTACCCTGAGTCTAACCTCACTATTACTCACCCGGTGATCCTAGCAGATGCCAGCAATATTTCTAAGGCATCTTTGGTCAAATACTAGTAGCTTACGAGTGTCTTCTACTCTTAATGGCCACGTTTCGCAGCCATAAAGTAAAACAGAACGAACTGCTGAGGAGTATACTCGTTCTTTTATTGATAGACGAATATCTCACCTTCGCCATAGGTGACGTAAGTTGGCAAAAGCCAAGCGAGCCGAACCCGACTGTTGTTGCTACCTCGACGTCGTGGTCGGGCTTGCCCATCATGATGAAGCAACCGAGCTATACTGGCTGGAACATATGTTCCTGTAGGTTCTACCATGCCAGGCAGGTCGGTTGGTGAACGGTAAGACTAAAAGCAACAAACCCAAGGTCCGAAGGCGAAGTCGTACTGCTGACTTTATAGAGGTGTGACAGCAGTAAGGTGTTTCCTTCAGACAACCAGCATGACAGAGATGCTGCCTTCACACTAAGGAGGGGTGGGGTTAGAAAAGCTCGACCCTAAAAATGCACACCTCGCCTTATCCCACGGATATCCGTCTCCGGCGGTAAGGTCTCAACAAGTACGGAGCTAACACGAAAGTTACTCATAAAAGGTCGTGTGTGACCGACCTCAAGCAGTTGTCCCTTGGGCACTGCGGTCACGCTCTCAGGTCACTAAGACCATCTCTAATCCAACTTCCTTTTCAGGTACCTCCAGAAGAATCTTTCCGCAGTGTGGCCAAACGGAAAGTGATAACCGCTTTCATACCTCTAACAGCACTCAAGACCACTGTATTCATAATCAACTCCCCAAATAACAAAGTAGAGACCCAAAGAAATTGATCAGATTAACAATCAAATTTAAGCAAACCACCAAAAACGGTTTATGAGCGCTTCGCTCATTAACACCAACCTTTTTTGGTTCCGTCACTCACACAAATGTACATCAGTGATGACAGATTTCAGTTAATACATTCAGCAATATTCCCAATTTATTTAACACCTCTAATAAAGATCAAGAAGTTACCAGCCATGGGCAGGCTAGCCAAGTGAAAACAACCCAACTAAATGACTAGTCCCCCTTCCCAATTTACGACCTAACATATACCCCTTATTCATATTGTATGGCAACTCGAACTGATGTACGTACATACGAAGTTCTACGTTGCAACTGACTGACCTTATAATGAATCTATGACAAACAATATCAATATTTAATTTTTGGCTGACAGAACGTGGCTCATAGGGATCAGTACAACTGCGAATAACCTGGCTACACTGTAGTAATGGAAACAGTTGAAAATGTTAACAGCACTACTCCTTGCCATGCAAATAAGCTAGGAGGAAGACCAATGTTACACCACCCTTTCACCTTAGACGATTAGGAAGAACAGTGTGGTATTTCTCCCAGGGAAAGTCACAGTGGAACTTGAAAATCTTAACGGAACTGTGCCTCTTATATAAATCGGGTCAGTCAGTCGCTCATCAAAAGAGCGAATAATAGATAAATCTGTAGAAGTGGGTAACCCACGAAATAAGAAATGCTCAAAATAAAATTTTAATAAACCCTTTGTACAGCCTCCAAGATAGCTTACGATGAATGCATATAGAATGTGAGCCAAGATAAAAGATTCTAGCAAACTAGCTTATTCACTTTATAAAAATCAGTCGGTTAGTCACATGCAAAGTAGAACCTAGCACATGCTCATAGGTCCAACTTGCCACATTACATTAGCACAGTGAAATGAAATTATCAAGAAAAATGCCAAAACAATGTAGTAGTAATAATATCAGTAGTACGAAAGAATAGGCATAAACAATATGATTTGAGAATGAATTGGTGAGAAAAGTATAAGCCAATACTAGGACTCAATAATTAAAGACCAAGTAAATGCGTCTGTGCCATCTCGATCAATTTTGAGAAACACCATTTAGTGTCTCCAGTCACTAAAGATAACCGCATCAACCCCAACCAGGTACATAACCTCCCAACAAACCTCAATTCAACAGCTTTATAGACTAGTTCCGCAACTTGATTTGGGAGCTCCTAACTTTCTTCCAACCTACTACACCACCTAAAGTCGCTTATTGAAGTAGGTGGTGGTTGGGCACACGTAAAACATATTTATCACCATGAGCGACCAAGGTTCAGTACTGCAAATAAACTAGCCATAATCCCACACATGTTTCACAATCCGAGCGAGTGTCACTGTAATTTGGTGGCTACTAACGTTAGACTTTGAAGTACTTTGATGTCCAAATAATTGTTCGGTGCACAAAGGTAAATCTGTAATACATGATCTTGTGTAATTATAAGACGAACCAATCATAAAAAAATGTGAGGACGTTCGTATACGAACCTAGCATCCTAGTCCGAGTGAACTAAACTAAGATATGACCAAGGTTTCAGTATTTCACGAAAGCACAGCTATAGATTCTTTGCGATTAATCAGTATTTAAGTATATTTGATCAAAAGTATGAGTCGTTTATGTGACGTTTGATTTATCTGGTGGTGAATAAGTTGCCCACCGCTGGATTACATACAAGAATCACACTTCACTTTTATTAATGAGAATATTTCTAATTTCGTTGGTGAAAGCTAAGGACTATATACCGTGTACAAGCATATAAAAAGCCATATCCTAGTGAATAGTTCAACATACCTGAAGCAAGAAAATGAAGACATCGTTATAAATTCCAACGCTGTTTTCATCCAAAATGATATTCGCTGGCCAGTCCAGATGATAATTAAGTCTTAAATTACCAATCAAATCAAAAGTCAGTTCCATAGGTCGATCATCAACTGGTTGATCCATATTAAGGAGATCAAATGTGAAGAAAGGAGACTCTAGATGCAGGAGTGAATGAGATACATGACGGTTCCTGAAAGTACCACTTAACTGACTCTGTAGATTAGCGGTGAGCTCAACAAGGTCCAGCTTCTTGGCTCTTGAAAATGCAATATTCCTGAAACACTGGCGAGCGAAATCGTTCATATTATCACCAGCACCAAAAAGATACACTGCTCCCGCAACAGCTAGGCAGTTTCCTACAGTTCGCAAACCATTTGGCCCACGCATATGCGAGAGAAGCAATAACTTCAACAACTGTTGATTAACTGACATTCTTCGTTCACAAACAAAACGTTTTAATTGTGACTCCAAGGATTTGAGTGTGGTCCTTGATTCATCCATTTTGTAACAATTTTTCGAGACATAAGATTCTTGGTGATTGAGTTTAAGACGAAAATGTTCGCTCAAGAGAGAATCCAAAGAGATACAAATAGAGTTTGAATCAACTGTTTCGAGGAAAGAGTAGTCCCCAATTTTTTCACAGACCGCAATGAGTAAGAAGATAGTTTTAAGACCATCGACTACCTCATCCATAATAGGAAGAAACATATACGGTACGTGGGATGAGCCTAACACATTGTTTCGCGGCTTAATGGCATCAGACCAGAATTTTGGATCATTAGGTGGTATATTAAAATTTATATCAGCGAACAATTTTACCAATGGGTCGGTGAAAGTCGCAGACCCTGAAAACAGCTGGACTAGTGAGGAAACGAATGGATGAAATGTGATGATGAACATAGAACGTAGTACTTTAACGATGTACTGGTCAAAACCACAGTCTTCTAGTAATCTGAGGTATGATGTAGTGCATCCAGTAAAGTTGTGATCGTACTTGTTTCTCGTAAGTTATCAAGGTCGTTTTTAATGACATCTTTTATGATTTTCGACAATATCTTAACACGGTTACACCAAGGGATCAAACAATGATACAGACTGATCATAGTGAAAATGCCTGGATTACGGCTTTTACTTTCCATCTCATGCAAGAACTCATCAAGTTGAGACAAAAATCCATTCAAGCAACTGGCAAAAGAGAAGGCGCAAGCATGAGATACGCAGTCCATTTTGTTGACTACAAAATGGACTACAAGTCTGATGAATAGTATATGATTATTCCAATCAACGAACTTCCCCAGCAATGAATCAAGAGCATTATAAGATAAATGGCTAACAGATACAAGATGTGGTTTGCAACAAATATCTACCATTTGGTTTTCACATAATTGCATAACAAAGCTCCCCCTGGCACCAAGCAGGACCCAGATAATTTCACGTATCAGTTGATACTCTGTTAAGTCATATCTTTCATCACATTGCCCAGTGTAAGACAACCAACGATTCTTCAGACATTTATCTTTCAAACTAGTTGAATACCGACTCCACCAATACTCAGGCTGCAAGTTTTTGTAGATTAATTTAGATGGGAAGTTATAATTGGCGAAGATATGTTTGTTTGACGGAAGTTGATCCCAGCGACATGGGTATGAGTATTCAGAAGTATAATCCTGTTCCAGCTTTGTAACTTCTTCATTTGAAGAGTTGGAGTCACATGTTTCAACTGAAGACGAGTGAAGCTGGAAGTTAATGTAATTCCTGGTACACATAAATCCAGCAGAAACTCATACGAAGCCTGATTCGAGGATTCAATTCATATTTGCACGTCCTAGAGATCACAAACAAAAATGTAGATGAAATAAACAAGCCATATCGCATGTAGAATCGACACCTCTATATACACTATAATGCTTTACAAGCATTTTAAAAATCAACATACTAAACTTGTCTTCAGTAAAATATTATTCCAAAATGAATATTATTGTTTATTATCTCCACATTTGCCAAAGAGAATTTGTGAACTATATGTTATGAGCTGCGTCTAGGTAGCATTATTCCCTATCAAGTATACGGCTAAAACAATCGTCAAGTCTTTCTTTTAATGACTCAGCGTAGGGTGACATAACTATATATTCCTGTAGACAGTCCCATTATTCACCTATTTGAACTGCGAAAATTAGCACGGTATGCCATACTACCTATTCCTTGCAACAACTAGTGGGCTTAGATCTCATATTTCCGGACTCATTGACTTTCAAATATATCCTTAAATTTCTTTACTCCTGAATTCCGGTTAGCTGGATTTGGTATTTCATTTTCAGTTTGGATAGAACAAGAGGCTAGGTGACCTGTGTAAGGTCTCTCGGTTGGTCCAACTTTCTTAAGAAAGTATAGACAGATGGGGCTTCAATTACGTTTTGAAGAGATGAGTTCCATCCCTTGGTGACTCGATGGAAAAGTTGGTAATCAGCTTGTAAGTAATTTGTTCTGGAATTCCAAACATTTTCAAAGCATTTTCAAGAACTTACAAATTCTGGGCCGTTCGGATAGACCCTGCAAGTTATTTTAAAGCTTCAAACTATTACCTTTAATTTTTATCGCTCTTTATGCACTAACATTGTCAGCAAATTATTAAACCGATGGTGTTAAGAGACTGGGAAGGTCATTTGTACAGGAGGAACAACACTAGCACTAAAACTGTCCCCTGAGACACTCCGCTGATCAAAGGTTCTCAGCTAGACGACTGGGAGTCCATCTATACCATACGCTGACGCTCAATAAAAGAATCCTTTATCCACATAAACAGGTTGACTCCGACCCTGATATCACCTACATAGATAACGGACGGTTGTTGGTAGCCTTGTCAAATGCCCTGCTGAAGTAATTGTAAGCTACATCTATAGGTAACTTATTATCTTTAAAGTTCAAAAAACTTTCACGGGCTTCTCACAAGTTTGTTAAGCATGAATAACCTGTCATAAAGCAAGGCTGCTCTTCAGAAAGAATCAGATCTTTGTCTAGATGATTAACTAACCCCTTAAGAATAATCTTATCTGAAATTTTAACAAAGGCGCTGATTGAGCTTACGGGTTGATAGTTCTCAGGTTAGTGTTTCGTAACTGTTTCGAAGACAAGATTTACTATGTGGTTCGCCCTGTTACCTGTTACCCGCGTAGATGATCTGTGTCGAATTATTGGGGGCCTGATCGAGTTAGACAGGAATGGCGTAACCAACCAGCTAACGTTGAATTCACACCTTACGGTCAGCACCTAATGTGGATAACCCTTTCGTCGTATCAATTTACTGTGGATGCTTTGAAGATCGTAAAACACAATCGACGTTATTACAGAAATATATTAGTAAGAGTTAATACAAGGAAGAGATTGCTAACACCACCGCATGTGCCAGTTCATGGAGTGCGATCAATTGATGCACATTGGTTGTCCTTGTACTTGACGGGAGTCCATGAACTGATCAACATTTGGTGACCCGATCGCTGAAAGATCAGTATAAAGTGCAGTGACATTTCACTAGTCCCACATAAATCTTAGATAACCTGCGTTGGGCTACGGAGAGTTTAAAACATATGTTTAATGGATTCACGATAAAATTTGCTAGTTCCTTCGGTGATTTAAAATGCAATTCATCGGATCCCACGGATTTACATATACCAAGCAGATTTGCCAGACCAAGACACCGGGTTCTTTAATGCTCAGTTTCCAGAGTGTGTGTGAAGCCAAAGGTTGTGCATACATCGCTGATGTAGTTTTATAATAAGTGAGCTTCGTCATAATTGTCATCCACGAATGATGAAGTGTCAATGTCTCCCCATTAATCTGGAATAGTATCTCTACCGTTATCTTGTAGAATTATGGTTCAATTCTTTATTAGTTCTATTATAATTAACCTTATCCTGAAATTGTAGATATGTCATGATGTAACTGCCTAATCTATAAGATCTTACGCGGAAGTCACATCATTGTCTACACTAACTCATCGTATCGTAACAATTATTAATATGTCTTGGGTTTCTAAAGAACATATTAAAGCTAAAGATAGAATAATATATTTAATGTGAGGCAAGTTATACATAATGATCATGCTTGCAAAGCTGAACCATGCTGTCTCATGGAATTCAACGGATTCTTCCCGCCTTCTGGATTTTCGACCTTCTCTTCGTGTTAATTGTTGAATATACATCTTCCCAGTTATTTCATGTCCAACTTTGAGGACTGTATGGTCAAGACCAATACTAATACCATCTCTTTTGTTCATGTTCAGAGAAGGCTTGAATTGTGTAAGTTTGATTTGAACAGATGTTAGTTGGCAACCTAATCCACACACTTGAGTTGAGTGTATCAAAGAAACATGACTTCAGTTCGCTTAAACATTTTCAAGATTATTTGTTCTAACATTACTATTTCATCCTTCATCGATCGGTACAAAAGTCAGAAGTATTCTGTGACGGTTTGTTGAGAGCGAAATTAATGAAACAAAAGAACGCACAAAATATGAAATATCAAGCCTTTGGTGGGTCTTCATCTAGCCTAAATGTGAGTTCTGTTTTGAGAAAACGTAAAGAGCAGCCCACGTCGGAATAACTATCAGTGGTTAAAACAAGGAAACACCGAGCTGATGACACTAAAAGCACAGTAAATAAACTTAGTAACGAAGGTATTCGGCAGAAGTAGCACTGACACAAGCGTAAGGTAAATCTGGTGATCAAAACTAGATGTAATCGGCGCAATTTTTTGAATTTATTACACGAGTGAAGCGGTTCGCATCCAGCTAGAAAGTATTCCGTGTAATGAGGTGAAATAGGGTTCAGAGTGAGTGAGGTGGGGCTGAAAAATGAACGAAAGGAAAAGTGGGTCGAGGTACAACAAGCGCACACAATCTGTTTACATTTATTGATGAAATCAATGGACAACAATCAACAATGATATAAGCCTCAAATTAAGACAGCCTTGAAAACGAAGCTAGAAGCAGATAGTTTAACCTACTATAAAGAGTACTGTTAAAAACAGGTAGGAAGTGTATTTTTTTCGTTCCTCAAGATATTCAAGCATTCAGGTGTATATATTGTGGCTATGATACAAATAAATCAAAATCATGTACACAGATTAGCAGAATGGAAGCATTAGGAATCCATTGATGCTAAAAGCAGTAGCTCGTAAGGCAAAAGCTTTCATTCCGGCAGCAACTATTCACACCATTTTAAAAACACTGAAATATTCTATTGCTCACTAACAACTTTTGAGTTGTTCTGAAATATGGTCACGATGCTTCATCGAAATTCTTCAGCAACCAGTATTCGTTGAAACTAACGAGATTAACACCAACTTTTAACGTCTATAAACCTGTCTGTTTTCGAAAGTTAATCAAATACAAGTCTGCAGAAACCAATGACGTTTTTCGAGCCATCCATCAGTAAAACACTTTTTCCTACTCGGGAGTTCTGATTAAACCTCCTAACATTAGGATTTGGTGAAGGTAAATTAACAGGCATATTCGAGCTCCTCGAAAAGATATTGGATATGATAAATGGAGCTCTCCCTTCTTGGGAACCTGTAAAACATGAAGTCCCCAAGGCACAATCCTCGGTTCTCTTCTCTTTTTACTTTATGTAAATGAAATACCAACTGTACCAAAATCATTCCTTCTACTCTACGCCGATGACACAAAGATTTGGAAGTCCATACACAGAATGTCAGATAGATTAGTATTACAGGATGATCTTAGCTCATTGGTGGCATGGATAGACAGATGGTCACTAGAAGTGAATCCTAATAAGAGTATGGTGATGCATTTAAGTAACTGTGATGAACCGTATGTGGGTTCTTGCTACCCAAAGTAAGAAACTATAAAGATTTCCGAGTCATACTAAGCAGTGATCTCAAAACCACCAGCCGTTGTAAGGCTGCTGCTACAAAAGGTTACAGGGTATTATGGTCTATTCGTAGGTCTTTCCAGTATTTAGATGATGAAATGTTTAGATTATTATACCCGATTTATGTGTGACCACATTTAGAATATGGGATTCAAGCAGCGAGTCCTTGTTTCAAGTATGAAGCAGATATGTTTGAAAGAGTCCAACAACGAGGTACTAAGATGGTCAAAGGTCTATCTGGCCTATCTTATGAAGACAGACTGGCACAAGTTAACTTATTCCCGTTATCATACCGTAGAATACGGGATGATATAATATTGGCTTATCGTATACTGAACGATGACCTTGATATTACCATGTCTTATCTTTTACTTCCGTCTAGGACTGATCATTTGAGAGGACATTCGAATAAAGTTCAAAAGCCGAGATCAAATCGTTTACGTCTGGAGATTCGTTTCTCGCACCGAGTATTGAATTACTAGATTCCCTATCACAATAGCTCTATTCATTAGGAATACTATCCCATTTGCCATTATCGATAGTGTATCCCATGAGAGTGGGACGTGTGAATTAGTTAGTCTTCGCTTGAAATGCAAGGGAAAAGAGCTGCTGATTGGTTTTGTCTATCGCAGTCCAAGCTGTGAGGCAAATGAGATCCTGTTAAGCAGTCTCAATACTTGGTTACAAAATGGTCGATGTCTAGTCCTAGCGGACTTCAATGCACCTATGGTAGACTGGGAAAATCTGCGAACTAAATCGTCGGAGAATTCTTTCGAGCAGGAACTAGTTGACGGGGTTATCACATGTGCTCTAGTGCAACATGTGAAAGAAGCGACAAGGTACGATCCGGACATTGAACCATCCTTATTAGATCTTATACTGACTCACTATGAGGATGATGTTGCGAACCTCCATCATATGCCACCCCTAGGTAAAAGTGACCACGCAGTTTTAACTTTCGACTTCCGTATAACTGCCAGTCACGAGCACGCCTCAGTCCAATCCAGACCTTACGTCTGGAAAGAAAATATACCAGACATCATGCACTCAGCATCGTTAGTAGATTGGACAATAGACCCAGAGTCCTCCATTGAAACGGCCTGGGACGCATTTCAAAATTCATACTTAAAAGTTACCACACCTCACATCCCTTGGACTATACCAAAGGGGCCGAAAAACTCACCACCATGGTTCAGTAGGGAGGTCCGTATCCTTCTCCGTAAGAAAAGGAAAATGTGGGATAGATTTAGGTTACTGGGGACTGATGAGTCAAAATCTCAGTATCGAAAGGCTCGGAATACTTGTGCCTCGACCCTCCGTAAGTCTAGAAAATTGTACGAAGGAAAATTTGTTAAGGAATCCATAGAATGTCCTAAACGCTTGTATTCCTATATAAACCAAAGGACAAGGAGAAAAGGAAATATTCCTGCTCTATGGGGAGACAGTACTGCTTCATCATTAGTGGAAGACGACTTTGGTAAGGCTCAAGTGTTTTCGAACTACTTTAGCAACGTATATACCATAGAAGCGCCCTTCCCGTCAGCGTATACAGATCCCCCCATACATACACTGGATAGCGTGACCATTAAAGAACTCGATGTCTTTGGTCTGCTAAATAAGCTTGACATAGGTAAATCCACGGGGCCCGATGAATTACATCCTAGGCTACTGAAGGAATTATCTAACTTCGTTGCAAGCCCTTTAAGTACATGCTTTAACCTATCCGTTACGCAGGGTCGCTTACCAAAAGACTGGAAAAACGCCATAGTAAGTCCTGTCTTCAAAACAGGTACGAAACACAAACCTGAGAACTACCGCCCCGTTAGCCTAACTAGTGTGGTTGTTAAAATCTTAGAAAAGATTATTCGGAAGGAGCTGTTTAAGTATCTCGATAAAAACCGGATCCTCTCGGAGAAGCAGCACGGCTTCAGAATAGGTTACTCTTGTCTCACTAACTTATTAGTGGCTCGTGAAAGCTGGTGCGCTCTTAAGGACCAAAAGCTACCTGTAGACGTCGCCTTCATTGATTTCAGTAAAGCTTTTGACAAGGTTCCGCACAACCGGCTGTTATATAAGTTAAGGAATGTTAGAATTGGAGGCAATCTATTGATGTGGATAAAAGACTTCTTAGTTGGGCGTCAACAAAGAGTACGGGTGAACTCAAAGTTATCTAGCTGGGAAACTGTGCTTAGTGGAGTGCCCCAGGGTACAGTTTTGGGGCCAGTGCTATTCCTCTTGTATGTAAATGACCTTCCTTGTCTCCTATCATCATCGGTCTTGCTATATGCTGACGATGTCAAGATATGGAGAACGATAAGATGTAAGGGTGATAACTTAGAACTCCAAAATGACCTGAAGAGATTACCTGAATGGTCTCAAACATGGCAGTTGCCGATAAATACTTCCGAGTGTGTTGTGATGCATATCGGTCATCAAGGCACAGATACATACACGATGAATAACACTGAGCTACCTGTCGTCCAGACATATAATGACTTAGGAGTTATCGTTAGTCAAGACTTAAAGACTACTGCACACTGCCGTGCAATAGCCGCCAAAGGTTTTAGAACGTTATGGTCAATACGTAGGGCTTTTAGTCATGTCGACGCCAAAACGTTTTTGACTTTGTATACAGTGTTCGTACGTCCTAAACTTGAGTACTGCATACAAGCGGCTAGCCCCTGCTTAAAAAAAGACAGTGAGCTTCTGGAAAAGGTTCAGAGAACGGCGACTAAGCTGATTCCCGGAATAGCGAAGCTTCCGTATGAAGCTCGACTGGCCAAGCTGAACCTTTTCCCGTTGTCATATCGCAGAACTAGGGGCGACTTGATTACAGTTTCAAATTGCTTAGAGCCAAATTTGCACCTAATATGCCCTCATTTTTCTTGTCTTCCAAAACAGAGAATTTACGAGGACACTCCAAAAAAGTTCATAAGCCGAGAAGAGATTACTTGTCAGCTGACTATCGACTTTCCCATCGAATCATCAACGAGTGGAATTCACTACCTCAGCACGTCGTTGAGGCTCCATCCGTCGACTCTTTCAAAAGAAAGTTGGATCAACTGAGAGACAACCATTGCCAGGACTAACATAGACCATCGAGCCTCCTGTCCTTCCCAAACTGAAACTGAAAATCAACACCTTCCGTTGATATATTCAAAACGAGATTGAACCTCTTCATTATTACAAACTGCAAGGAATAATACAGGTCGATAGACCTCCTATCCTTATTACTGAAGGCTAAAGATGTTACATTGACCTTGCAGACGTAGTAACTGATTAAACGCATGTTTAAATATGGATTTTGTTCCAGATGACATATTGAAAGAGTTTCCTCAAGAAAACGAAAGTCAGCTTTGGAATAATTAAGTATAGTTCGATCGAGTTTTTAGGGCACCTCATAGATACCAAAACAAGGGTGAAGTTTGGGAACAGCATTTCAGCTGAAAAAATTCCACGGTCTAAAAAGGTGACATGGACTAAAACTGAGGGATCAAATGAAATCGCATTGAAATCCGAGACTTCATTCAGGCAAGCTCTACACTCATATGATATTTTCTCAGGAGCATTATTGCTTCTAAGCAAAGGTCTCACACAAAGTATGTTTGCCACAGCTTTGTAACTCAATGCTATCAGCGATAGGAGTTATGTTGTATATTTGTCTAAAAAACTCGCCGATATCGTTCAGAATTCTCATATAGGAGAACTTTCACCTGTTGAAAGTGCAGAGCAACTTCAGAAGTTTAAAGAAGCTAGTCACATGGCATTAAAGAGTATTCAAAACATTTTCCGAGAGGCAATAACTCAGGTCTGTCTATCAAGATAAATCTCTATTTAAGTAGATACGCCCTGAAGAAAGTCATCGCAGGGCATTGCTTCTTAGCCTGTCAGATAGGTACGAAAATATTTTCAATAACTTAATTGATACTTGTGAGAAGTAAGCGGTATATAATTTCTTAGTAGCTTTAGTCTATATTCAGCTGTGATCTCTGGTAGAAAAGATCTTTGCATGATAAACGTAGAGGGTCTGCGTAACAAAAAGAAATTGGAGGACTGTTTGAAGTACTGTTGTGATTAAAAAAATATTTCTTCCCAAGGTGTCTCACTGACGCGAGTTTAGGCAATGAAAAACTTCAATCATCTATCAAAAATCTGAATTTAGAGGTAAAGCTATGTTTATCTGTTATATCTGTGTAACCTTCGTAGATAATGCAAGCTATTTCATCTACAAAGGCAAATGAAGAAGAAGTGTTCAATGTTCATAACTTATATAAACTTCAGCTTCAAGAACTGAGAGTGATCAAAGAGTACTTGCAGAAGAAAGTTGTCATTGCTTTAATATGGCTCTTAACTTAATAAAATTGGCAAGTTGCTTTTTCAACCTTCCTATCACTATAACACTAGAAAACTAATCCAGGAACATAGTTCAGTATTACTGAATGATGTAATAAAATTGTAAGAAGTTCAAGATTCAGAGGAACTCAAAATATCAGTTGGTAGTATTCCACACCAACGTATGTAGTGGATCACCAACCAAACTTAGCAAGTGTCTTAACCTCTAGAGTCAATTGGAACTCACAGTTTCATGGACTAGTTTCTCATATTTATCCGGTAACTTATGTCTTATAGCTCTACTCAGTGACCCCTTCATCCAAAATACGATATACTGTACTGGATATTTTGGTCACAGAAGTGATTTCAACCAAAAGTTTGCTATTTACTAGGTAGTTTTAACGTATAAATAACCAAAATTTAGTTTAAAGTCGACAATAAGTATGTTAAACCTCAAAACTGAGTTTACAAATGTATGAAGTAGTCCGATTTCAGAATAAGATTAAGATTTGTGTAGTAAGGACAGAAGGCCTACGACCTATGTTATTCCTTTTCTAGTATGCTTCTGCGAGTGTCCAGTCTTATCTTGAATGAGTCGATCGAAGGTGCGGACACCACCGCTTCGGGTAACAGGTTTCAAGTATTGATGACACGGTGTGAAAATCTGTATGCCACGGGTATTTTGTTCGTTCTTGGCTTTTCTACTCTCCTGCTATGTCTTCTGAGATGTCCCGATCTAGTGGGAAGGAAAAAAGGATATGCTAGGTCCAAAATAATTTCTCAGTATTCTGTACATCAAAATTTGATCTCCCCTTAGTATGCGACAGGACATAGTAAAGAAGTTCAGCTTTTCAAGCCGCTCTTTGTATGGTAAACCCCGGAGTTCTGGAATTGCATGGGTAGCTGCCCTTTGTACTTTTTTAAGGATATCCGAGTCACCTTTTAAACAGAAGTTTGCAGCCTGAACGCAGTTCTTACGCTTAGTTCTCACCAAAGTTATGTATGCGGTAGTGAACATGGTAGTATCTAACTTAGTGAATATCCGTTTCAAAGCCCAGAGGGTTTGAAACCCCTAAGCTGCAACCCTCCGGCAATGGGTCGTAGTCTCAATATCATGGCTGACAGTCACCCCAAGATCCTTATGAGACTAGACCACTGGTAGTGGCACTTCCCTATGCTGTACCTATTAACCTTTGTATCCCCAAAGTGCATGTGGACACTTTATTCTGCGTTGATGAGCATCAGCCACTCAACCTAAACAAAATTACACTCGGAAAGACAATAAGTCATTTCAATGGCAAAGTGTTTGGATTATTTGAATACTGCCGTAGTGTACTAAATAATATAAGTAATTGTAAGGTTAAGAACTAAAATTGTTAAGTTCAAAATAATTACCAGATTCGTCCAACACAGTTCTCTTCAAAGAATAAGTGTACTGTAACCATCGGTATCTGAACATCCTCGAAGTACGGAGTATTATGAAAAGTATTTTTTCACAATACCTTTACCTGATATTTGTCTTCAAAGTTACTTGATTTAAAAATAAGTGGATATATCTCTTGATTTATAAGAATTTTAAATGATCAGTGGTAAGCAAAATTTCAATGAGAGGATTATGAGTTGGAAGTTTTTATGCTTATATTTCTGGTTTCCAGTGACAATAGTATTCTATCAAGGTAGGAACAACTTGCATCCCATGAAGTGAGCAGCATGTTCAGATAATTTACTGACTGCAGTTATTTCCTTAAATTCACTTGGATTGTAACAAACTTTAGTAAACGCACTTTAAATAGAAAATAAATAAAACCATGGATGTTCAGTGAATAACACTTTTTGTGAATACAACATATTAGCAAAAAAAAGGAATATTAAATGCTCACCAAGACAACTATTTAGTCAATCAGAATTGTAAGTACCGGAAACTGAAATTTATGAATGAAAGTTTGCATAATTTAAAATCCAATTTGTTAATGTTCAAGAACTTATATGTAAAATATGCGGTTTATTCCACAGTATAGCTAATTTACAGAAATTAATGAAGTCCACTGTGTTTCTTGAATGTCAATAATGATAAAAGTACTCAACTACCAAAGTATATAGATTTTAAGCAAAAGAATCAAATTATGTGTAAGTCATTGGGAGTTTTGAACCAAAAAGCGTATTATTCAATTAGATTCTGTATATATCTACCACCTAAATCAATAAAAAACTAGTCACCTCCCCGGATTCGTAATTGCTTCTTAAATTGAAGCAAACATGTATGTGATAAATAATATGAAAATATAAAATTCAGATCATTGCACACTCATACCAACAACTTAGGACCTAAGCCTGTTGGTTCAATTCATTTGGTTGGCTTTTGTCGAGCTGTGTTTATTTTTGTACTTTTCTAATATACCTTTGTCTCGCTTTAAGTCTCTCTGTTAATGTCATCCCATTCTTTCACTAAATTACAAATTTTTGAGACATTCTGAGAAATTGATACTCTGGACAGTTTTTAAATATTTTATTACAGTGTATAATAGGCCCGTATAATTCAATTCTGAATTTATTCGAGTGAAATATTGTTATATTTTAATGGGCATACGTAACACGTGTCCCAGCCATCTCAACTGATGAAGTTTCACTACTTCATCAATTGATTTGCCATCCTTACCTAGTACCCGTTTCCTAACAACTGTGTTACTTACTCGATGGTCCCATGATATACGAGCAATATTTCGAAGACACCTATGATCAAATACTAGTAACCTACGAATATCCTCTACTCTTACCGGCCATGTTTCACTGCCATAAAGTAGGACGGAACGAACTGCTGCGCAGTAAACACGTCCTTTGGTTGATAGACGGATATCTCGCCTACGCCATAAATGACGCAAGTTGGCAAAAGCTAGTCGAGCCTTCTGTATCCGTGCTGAGATTTCGTCACACACCAACCACAAGGGCTGATGAGACTTCCAAGATAAGTGAAGCGGTCGACACACTCAACTACTTCACTCCCTATCACTAGTTCGGGTGTCGATGTAACCCAATCCTGAAGCAACATTTTGCATTTCGAGGGAGAGAATCGCATCCCGAACATGCTTGCATTGTTGCTTAGAGTGGTCAGAAGACTCTGCATTTTGTCAGCGTCTTCACCAAATAAAACTATGTCATCAGCATATTCTAAGTCAACAAGTGAACCCCCGGTAGAAGTTCAACCCCTGGAAATTTAGATGAGGAGAGTGTTATCTCTAAAAGTACGTCAAGACAAAGTTGAACAAGAATGGGGAGAGTGGACAGCCCTGACGAACACCACTTGAGGTAATCAATTCTGATGACAGTTCGCCATAAGCTCTCACTCTACCAGTTGTGTTCGAGTAGAGAGCCTTTATAAGGTTAATGTACTTCTTTGGTACTCCTTTCAGTGACAAACACTGCCATAGAACCTCACGATCAACAGAGTCGAATGCCGCCTTAAGGTCGAGAAATACTACCATTGTGGGGCGTCTGAATGTGTGTCTGTGTTCTAGAACCTGACGTAGTGTGAATATCTGATCTATACAACCACGTCCAGGTCGAAAACCGGCCTGGTTTTCTCTAATCTGCTCTTCACGAGCTTTGATTAGGCGTCGAAGTATTATTGAAGCTAATATTTTAGACACTATATTAGTCAAACTGATTCCTCTGTGATTGTCACAAGAGGACTTTTGTCCTTTCTTATAGACTGGCACAATCAGTGATTGAGACCAGTCAGATGGGATTACGTCCAGTTCCCAAATTCTACCTAAGACCTCAGTTAATCTCATTGCTAATACTGGACCACCATCCTTAAAAATCTCAGGAGTAAACCTGTCAGGGCCTGCTGCTCTCCCTCGTTTCAGATTTCCTATGGCTTTTTCAACTTCGTAAAGGGACGGAGGACCTACATTAACTTGCCATTCAGGTTGACTGGAGATCGTGGGAAACCGAAGTGTGGCTGAAGGCCAGTTGAACTGATCCCTAAAGTGTTCTGCCCATCGATCCAATCTCCTGGATTGAGAATGAATAATATGTCCATCTTTCTCTGAGATTGTTTCGCTAACGGTCGGGTTCCTAATTCCGGTTTCCTTAACGAGTCTGAACAATTGTCTGCTATTACCTATTGCCGCTGCCTTTTCCATCTCTCTTGCTTTCGCTACCCACCACTGTTCGCGATCATTGCGTAGACTTCTTGTCAGCTTGCGCTTAAGCTGACTCCGCTCTTCATTATGTTCAGAGCCAGGTGGAATGAGTTTCCGAGCATCTATCAGTGCGATAGATGCTGCTGAGATCCAGTGTTGCTCCCTAACCTTCTGGTTTACCTTACTAGCAGATATCACTGCTGTTTCCACAGCTTTTCGGATATCATTCCATGCTGCATCGGGGTGGGCATCACATACATGGCTGCCTAACTGTTTTCCTAGTTGTTCCTGAAATATACTCTTAGCTTGACTATCATTAAGTAGGGCCCTAAGAGGTTTCCTTGCAGCGTCTTTCCTACGTCCAGTAAGACGCAAGCAAATACGCGCTCGCACTAGAGCATGATCTGAATCTAGGCATGTGCTCCAGAATGAGCGACAGTCTTCTATCGAGCCCCTCCATCGGTGGCTGATAGCGATGTGATCTATTTGGGTCCAACGTTGGGACGAATTAGGGGGTCGCCATGTTAAAAGATGTTTTTCCTTATGCTTAAAGTTAGTATTTGCAAGGAACAGGCGGTTATCTGAGCATAGCTGCAACAGACGGTCGCCATTATCTGTTCTTTGAGCCACGACACCATAAGATCCACCTAGGTGTCTTTCCCTATCGCTTAGTTTACCTACTTGAGCATTAAAGTCACCGGCCACTATTACTACATCCGAGCGCCTAGCTTTTCGGAGAAGGTCCGAAAGCTTTCTGTAAAACTCATCTTTTACATCATCTGAGCTGCAGTCAGTGGGAGAATAGGCAGAGACGACGAAGAGGCAACGACGAGTGTCCCTATTCCGTTTAGTCGGACAGCGCACAAACGACTGTCTACTGGGATCCACTCTAAGAGAGCTAGTTCTGCCCTAGGACTCAATGCTATACCTACGCCGGCGAGGCCACGGGAAGCAGAATCAGGGCTTCCAGATACACGAAGCGTAAATCGAGTCGGTTCTTTATTTTGGCATGGTGAGGTCAAATGAATGACGCTACTCGGATCCTGTATGCGCGTTTCGGAGACGCAGCACACATCGATGGCGCGAGATTCTAAAGTTTTAGCTAAGGAAGCCTGCTGTCCTATTTGGCAAAGTGTTCGTACGTTAAAAGCTCCTACGTGTAGTTTAGAGCGTGGTTTCAGGAGACCAGGAATGGCGTTCCACGTACTCGAATCGTTTGCCCTAGCGGTGCGAGGTGATAAAGAGACGTGAGGAGGGTTAGTCATGGAGATAAGAGAGTATTAGGAGGTGTAGGAAGGATTTGAATGTGACCACCTTGGTCTCTTGTGCTGTTACGGGTATGAGGGCTGATGTCACTTCCCGGCTGCCCACACCGTGGAAGGGTATTTCTTGAGGAACCTGAAAAGGAAATTGGATTAGTGTTGGTCTTGACGACCTGGGAGCGTGACCGCAGAGCCCAAGGGACAACTGCTTGAGGCCGGTCGCGCACGGCCTTTTTGTGGAAGGTTTTTGACGTGTTAGCTCCGTTCTTCAAAGGGCCTTACCGCCGGAGACGGAAATCCGTGAGGTAAGGTGAGGTGTGCATTTTTAGGGTCGACCTTTTCTAACCCCACCCCTCCTTGTGGGAAGGCAGCATCGCTGTCATGCTGGTTGTCTGAAGGAAACACCTTACTGCTGTCACACCTCTGTACAGTCAGCAGTACGACTTCGCCTTCGGACCTTGGGTTGTTGCTTTTAGTCTTACCGTTCACCAACCGACCTGCCTGGCATGGTAGAACCTACAGGAACATATGTTCCAGCCAATATAGCTCGGTTGGGTCATCACGATAGGCAAGCCCGACCACCGCGTCAAGGTAGCAGCTACCCAATCTATTAGTTGAAGTATCTCCTATCCTATGGTGTGATGTGGTCTATTTGGCTGGTATATGAACCAAGTACGTTTGAAATAAATAATCCATTTAGTGGAAGCTGATATTTGTGTTCTGGATTGAACGGGCTGAATTAGGCTAGAAGCTACCATTTTAGGAGACCATTAAGGACTCAGAGTTGACCCAAGGCTGCTCGTACTGGTTAGCGCATCACTGGCTTGGCACAGCGACAAGATCATATAATCCGGTGGTCTAGTCGGCGATTCGGTCACGTGATATTTGATGGGGCATAGGACATAACAATAATATTGATAAACTTGAATAATATCGGAACTGAAACTCGTCCTTCTTTGCTTGACAATCTATCGGATGAAAGTTAAAAAACTAAGTACTGTACATTATGCAGAATAACTGATGATACCTGATCTACTGATTGCAAAATCAATACAATATAAGTTGAAAACCAACCTACAGTGTCCTGAATTTCTACTGATATGGTGAACAGGTACTAAGTTCATTCGAATATGAATAATTTTTGAGATTGATTTTGTCCGTGACTTGTAAACCCATCTTAAGAAGGAGTGATTAAGGAACAATCTATTAGTTTATTATAAACGCTTAGTTTTACGATACTGTAAAGGTGTTTTCACACAGTAAGTTATTGATAAAGTAGTGTTCAATACAACTCATTCCAGTTTATCAAAAAATCTGGCTGCAAATAAATCACACAGAATGCAGTGTATTCATATATCGTTTTGCTTTAATTGTGAGGTCAGATAAACCCTTATCTATTGTCTTTATTTTTTTACTTTCATCGATCTTAAATACTTTCAGTTTTGTGATAGAAACATGGTGACTATTATAGATCATCTCCAAATGTCCAAAGATAAGTGGTTAACTATGTATGATCGATCATTTCTGTTGATGAGAAAATTAATAACACAATTATTTGAAACATTGGCAGCGTGTTCAGAAGGGATTATGCGCTTTTCTGAATGTCTGGAATACTTATTTATGTCATCTAAGTATCATTTGGATGACTTGTTGAAAAAAACTGAAAAATTAGAAATTTATCTACATCCAACGTTTGAGGATAACGTAAAGTAAGTGTACTGACTGTATAACAACGTTTAATGAGTCTATTATGTATTATACTACTAATAACAATAATGTTATTTGTAAGTTCATTTTAAAAAGCTGTTTTTCAAAACAAATGTAGCTCCATCCTCTTATATGATAAATATATAATTAAACTAATGAATTGATTATCGGTTTATTTCCAATGTTATTACTGGTCTGAAAGTGACTTTTTGGAGATTATTTTCATTTAAATTCGTGGGCATTCTGCGTCGCCACTGAAAATCAGGGGTTACAGAACAGTTGTCTCGACCTTGTATGTAACTTTGAAGCAGTACACACCCACAACCCCTACATGATATTAATCTGTGATGAATTCTACCTACAAATCAGGATAATCTGCACAAAATCACCTCACTTAAACTGTAATCCTGAGCTTGCTAGGGACTTACTACAGTATACGTCTATGAAGTTCCAGAACTGAGGACTACCGGAGTTTAAGCACGAATGAGAGTTAAAACTTAGCAACAGCACTCAGTTGTCGGTACATCATGGATTAACTAAAGTTAGAAATATATACCACTGAATTGGCATTCAGTGGTCTAGTGGCTAAGATTTATCCACAATATATGGAGATACTGCGTTGGATTTCTGAGAGTTTCTTGGGTATGCACTGAGTTTAATACTACGGTGGAAAAGCTATTCGGTTCTCACAGATTTTTGTGAATGTTTAAATACAATTAAACCCTGTATTTTATTTGTGATGAAAGTTAGTCTGGTTACTTTTAAAAACTATTCATTTACATATTTGTGTTCTGTCCCACACATTGGGACTGTAGAATATATATGTGAATAGTTAAGAGAAGACGAAGCAGTTACTACAATTCCAATTAATTTGATAAAGGAGTTATTACTAAAATGCACTATGAATATGGATTTCAGGTTTTAAAGACAAATCGATGAAATTGCAATGGGTTCAGCATTAGGTCTCATACTAGTTGATATTTTTATAGCTAAATTTTAAAAAGTGGTCCAATTAAACAGTTTATTCTAAAGTTCGCACCCTACTGTTGATATATGGATGGCACGTTCATCCTCCGCAAATACAGTACATTACAACTAAAAGTTATTAGGCTATTTACTCTCGACCACTACATGTAGAGTTAGAGAAGTGTGAGTGGAATAGCTCTTTTGGACGTCCCATTGACGAAAACAGCTGATGGGTCAATAAAAAAGAACTTAAACAGTGAAAGCACCTGGACAGTACAGTACATACCTTTCTTTAACTTTGCTTCTCCACAGTACAAAAGAAACCCGACAAACCTATTAGTTATCTCATACGCACCATGTTTCACTGATACAAGCGAACAAGAACTAGACGTCTTACGTAATACTCTTAGGGAAAATGGTCACCGTGGGAAATCTATAAACAATTGTCTGACCACAAAATCAAGACTACATGAAGTACCAACAGTGGATAAAAAATACCTGTCCATGCGCCTGCAATTCAGAAGTAATGCAGCCGGTGAGATATTACTTCAGAGATTAGGTAGAACAATCCAACGAACACTGAATGCCGGAAAACTAAGAATACCGTTTTTCTTTCTCCCAATGATGACGCCGAGGCTAAAAGGTGAATTATCTAGAATGTCCACTTCGTTTTCTATTTCTCAGTTTGACTGCTCTTGTGGAGCATGTTTTATTAATCGAAGATACAGAAATTTACAATTTCATCGTCGAGATCACCTTCCAGCTCGGCTAAGCAAAAGTATATCCAAGATAGTAAATACGTTGTAGCGAATCTCTGTCATCACAAGCCTACGTGACCTGTTCTAACATTTAGAGATAAATTATTTTGATTTTTTATTTGTCCGATCACCTATATATTTGCCCTTGCATGAACCTGAGTATGCTTTATACATATATACATTCTAGTACGTACGTGTCTGTCTCCTTTATGTTTATAAAGGTTGAGTCACACATGACTCACTGAGTTGGCACTTTCGCCTTCTCTGTTTCGTATCTGTGATCATCTATCTGGAATAAAGAATGTCTGAAAGAAATTCTTCCAACTTAATTTATATTTGGCTTTTGACCCCCATTCCCCAAATGGGATTAGCATAAGTCGAATTTACGAAATCAAACGGAGAATTTGTGTTCGAGGCTGATTTATTGTTCGTTCATAATAGGATCAGATCGTGAGCCCATAACCTCAGTGCCCTAGCCCATTCAGTGCAAACAGATCGTAGCACCAGAATAAATCAGTCATTCTCAAAGTCGGCCCGACTCAAAGTCCTCCAAACGGCAGAAACAACAGCCATTCACATAAAAAAATCGGATCTATATGTGCAAAAGATATATGTTTAACCCCTTCTATTACCTTGGTTAACCAAAAAATCAATAGTCATCTTAGTTGTAGAATGACCTAATTTGATTAATCATACGTACAATCTTTGTTAGTCAAATAATACTACCTTTGTTATTTTTATTCATATATCTTATTATTATTATTATTATTATTATTATTATTATTATTATTATTATTGGTTTAACTTCACTACTACTCTTTCGAACACACGATTAATTTAGTTAGCACTCACCCCACTTGATTATTTTATATTGAATTATCTACTATTGAATTCATATAACTTCATAAACAAAACATTTGATTGGATTTGTATTTCTACACCCTGTCTTGACCATTTCAACAATTTTATTCTATTTTACAAACTATTTTACATTCACATACTATAAATTTAAACGGTGTATCTGATATGATGGAAAGAAAAGTCAATTTTCGATTGATTTATTCATTATGAGTTTTGTCCAACATTACTTCCGTTTGATACCACTCTAAGCAACAATGCAAGCATATTCGGGATGCGATTCTCTCCTTCGAAATGCAAAATGTTGCTTCAGGATTGGGTTACATCGACACCCGAACTAGTGATAGGGAGTGAAGTAGTTGAGTGTGTCGATCGCTTCACTTATCTTGGAAGTCTCATCAGCCCTTGTGGTCTGGTGTGTGACGAAATCTCAGCACGGATACAGAAGGCTCGACTAGCTTTTACCAACTTGCGTCATTTATGGCGTAGGCGAGATATCCGTCTATCAACCAAAGGACGTGTTTACTGCGCAGCAGTTCGTTCCGTCCTACTTTATGGCAGTGAAACATGGCCGGTAAGAGTAGAGGATATTCGTAGGTTACCAGTATTTGACCATAGGTGTCTTCGAAATATTGCTCGTATATCGTGGGACCATCGAGTAAGTAACACATTTGTTAGGAAACGGGTACTAGGTAAGGATGGCAAATCAATTGATGAAGTAGTAAAACTTCATCAGTTGAGATGGCTGGGACACGTGTTACGTATGCCCAACGACCGTCTGCCTCGGCGTGCTATGTTCAGTGGTATAGGAGTAGGTTGGAAGAACGCTAGGGGCGGCCAAACCAAAACATGGTACAAGTCCATGAAGTCACTGACAAGTGGACTGAGTCATATTAGTAGGTGTAGACTACCTGGTTGGGGACCGCGAGATGATAGCAACCGATGGTTAGAGACCCTGAATGACATGGCTCAAAATCGTTTGCAATGGCGCAGATGCATCCACTCTTTGTGTTTTCCCAAATTCTAATCTTCTGAATTCTTCATGTCCCTTTCTTTCTTCTCTTTCCAAATTTATTTCACTGGATTATACTCTATAAGTAACATCTACAAACACTAATCTTCCCGATTACTGCTTATACTCTTGCTACCTCTACCACTACGGGATTTGAATCGACCACTGCGTCTCTGTGCTAATGTGGTGTGGCAACTCGAACTGATGTACGTACGTACGAAGTTCTACGTTGTTACTGACTGACTTCCGTTTGATTCAATGTAATGATTACTCAATGAAGTATTCGGTTTTGTTTTCTCGTATGATATTTTATTCTGTATAATATACGATATTCTTGTATTCCATTGATATGAACTATGCTCAGGATGACATTTAGCATATGACTTTAAGTGTTTTCCATATATGTGATTTCATCCTAATTATTAATCAAAATGGGTTTACAATCAATATATAAATGAGTGTATTTTCTACTAGAATCGTCGTCGTCGTCGTCGTGTGTTTTGGGGTTAATTATTCATCACTTACCAGTCTTTTTGTTCTTACTTTCGCGTCGTGAGAATTACAGAGGTCCTTCGTTCCGAGTATAAGTGATAGGCGTTTCCGACATACCAATCAGCGACGACCAGATACAAAAAGTAGCATTAAAAAAAACCAAGACAATAAGCATTCAAACGACAAATTATAACAATAAACAAAACATTTGATTGGATTTGTATTTCTACACTCTGTCTTGCCGATTTCAACAATTTTAGTCCATTTTACAAACTATTTTACATTCACGTACTATAAATTTAAACTATATATTTTCCTTAAACTTAGTTACTTTTTGGATTGATAATCTGGATTAATATTATTGTAAAACCGGTAAAGAATTTATTGACAAAAGTATTTTTCATTTGTTTATCAGTATTTTAATGTGTTCGGGATTTTTAGCGTTAAAATCTAGACCCATTGGGTCAAGAGTTTCATATTCACTGCAAAATGTAAATGTTCCGCATCAGATAGAGTTTTGAGTAATGGACAGATGATGCTGAAAAGTAGTAGACTGTATAAGAAACAACTGTCCTTTGCTTTAAAGATTTTAAAATCCTGCCCTAGGTCCTAAATATTTGATTGGGTAGGCAAAACCAAGTAGATAATTTATTGCTACAAGACCAGATAGATCATATGCTGTTGGAAAAACATATAGCAGGTAAGACTCAGCATCTTGGGTGGGCTTACAGTGAGTGAGTGGATTTTTTCTCTAGCTATGTTCACTGCCTTCATATATTGTTTGGATCGGCTCAGTAATATGTAAATATACGCATGACGTACGTAAATGTTCGTTCAATATTGGCAATAGAGATTTATTTGCGCGTTTAGTCTTTTTACATTGCATATCTGGCTGGCTAAGCGTTAGGAAGTATGTAATGCAAGGGAACCGGATAGAATACCATAACAGGATTATGTATGTCTTATACTGTGTACAAATTCATCAAATTGTAAATCCTGAGAAAAATAGCTGAATAGTATTGAAACTACAGAACTGACTGAAATTTAGATAAAACGTTTTGTTTCAAATATGAGATGAATAAAAATAATAGGCAAAGAAGTAAGCCTGTGTTTTAGGATTGTACTTGACCTTTTCAGGTGTGATCACAAGTATAAATTCTGTTAATTCATGAAAAACCATTTATTTTACTTACATGGATTTAAAACAAACTCTTATAATTGACTTCAGAAATTCTTGTGTTAACCCGGTTAGTCTATCTAAATAAAATAAAATAAAATGAGTAATTTTGTTTATTTAAAATAACATTCAAGTCCTTAGAGGTGATAATCCACATTCAATGTTTTCCGTCAAAAATAAGTTTATGCTTCAGCGTTTATTGATTTAAACAAGGCCAGACAATATAGTATTCATAATGTTAAAAGATGATTCATTATTTGTTTGATGACTACGTACTGAATAACTACATTTAACAAGCATTTGCTTAATCGAAACTGCAAGTTCGTTTTTACCATGTATTACGGAAACCCATTGAATGTGGTTTCATGGTTTCTTCTTTGCTATTTCAAGATAGCTCAAACTTTCAAAATCTTTCAGAAAAATGAATTTATTTATTCTACTAAAAACTTAAATTTGTATCTAACTAAATAGTTCAATATCATCTTTTTCTTTGGTAAGAAATAGAAGTCCAGAATATACAACGCGTGCTACCATTCTACTGACTGATATTCTAGAAACAGCGCAAAAAGTTAGTTACTTTCTTATGACCTATTTGCTAATCATTTTCAAAGTTTAAACAATTTTGAGTGAGTTCTTCAGATAAGCGAATTTCAAATATAAGTATATAAATATTGTTGCCACGTTGGTTGATTCTCCTTGATGACGACCATGAAACATAGCTCCTTAATCTAGTCCCTACATATACGTTGATTGGATCTCTTTATTGAAAACTGGAAAAAATAATTCGGACACGAATGTACGTGAGGCACAAATTTCATGCATACATATTAATAGACAGACCATAATTGATGGATGAAGAGCGAAAAGGCACTGTCAACCACCTTATTAAAATAGGCTTGTGTCTCAGCTTATGTAGTTCACATTGACATAAAAGTGTACATAAATGAAAGGTAAAGACTAAGTGTATATGAATAATATAACCATAATATAACAATGTTACGGTTATATATGCAAAAGCCAGATAACGCAACGCTTTGTGTCAATCTGTTAGACCAGCTCACGATGCGATCGTAAATTTGATCAAGTGTTTGTTATTTTTTAAGTCTAGATGATGGGGTCGTTATGTTTAGCATATATACAATACATAAAGAGTACCAAAAAATCGCAAAAAGAGAATTTGTCAGACGTCGAGAAGTATACTGTGTTAAGATGTTGGTGTAATAACAAAATTGAAAGCTTAAAATCAATGTGACCCTAATTAATATCATTTGTATATAAGACATGATATGCGAGAATGATCTGAGTAAAATAAAAATTTCGTAATGTACAAGCATCATCCTTGTGTGAAAAACCAATACACATATGGTGTATACATGTGAGTATAGAAAAAAATGTTAGTTTCAATAATTTGAAATGATGTGAAATAGTAAAGACGATTAGGCGCCTATAATATAACAGCTAAATGAATCTTGAAGGTCAACATCGAAAAGCTTGAATATACCGAAAAAAGCATGGTCGAGGGTAAGAGTATAGAGAGTACAAGTTAAGCAACAGAAGCATCTCTTCATTTGATTCCTCAGCAGAGCTCCACACTATAGTATACGTTTGATCGTTATACAAAAGAATCAATATCAAATAAACGACGATGGATCAACTTTAAATAATATAATAACCAGTTAGTAAGGACACTTGATGAAGAACTAGTCGAAATGATGTATTTTTTCGCTCAACTTGAATTTTTAATATCTTAATGAGAATTTTACATAAATGCAGAATAATTGAGACTGTGTTTGACAAATGATTAAAGAGTCTTCCATACAAAAGGTACAAAACCTTTGGATGCAAGATAGGAATATTTAATTCGTTAAACGATAACTGTATTAGTGAATTATACTCATAATTGTGCTATAGTTGGTATAGTTAGGAAATGGGGAGTCGGTATATACTTTAATCGGCAAAATAAATCGTAGTAACAGTAAATAACGGTTTGTATGAGTGCGTTCGGTCTATAACATGCACTTGATTTGTTGGCTGCACTGAACTCATTTATTGACTAAATAATTTATAATAGATTTGAGACAGATATAGATTGCATCTAGTTTTTCGAATTATATTCTTTTGTCAGTGCTCTCTAATTTATAAAAAAGAGCTCATCACTTGATAACCTGTATTCTGGCTTCAGTTAATGAAAATAAAGTACACCTTAAATTTGGGTTCGTATACAACACTTCGAATAACCCTAATTTTACCACAATGATATTTAAAAGCCAAATAGAAAATATAGCTGGAAGATTATTTTTCATGCATTCGTTTAATGACAGTGAACCATCCAAACGTATGAAAATAGTTTGTGCTAAATTACTTATTCTATCTTAGGGTTGCTTCGATGTATGTATGTTATTTATTCGTTACAGAGCTCTGTCTAAAATGAATTCATCTAGTTAACATAGATTCTAACTTTATCAAGCAAAACTATACTCACACTAACATAAAATTTTCATAACAACATAACACCATATATTCTGTAGAAAAAATATTCAGTTTACGAAGTATCTCCTCATATCAGTTTTGACACCGCTTCAAGATGTATAGAGCGGAATAGCTGGGTATATTGACAGATTAAGTAGCAATTTACAAAGATTTAATGTGGTACATACAAAAAACTCAATAAGCTTACCATGAATATATATATATATATATGTATCGAAACCATTGCTAATTAAAAGTCGAACCTCCGAGTGAAATAATATTAAGATTAAGTATTCAGGTGTGGGATGCATAAATAACCTTTTCAATGTGTTTTTTTTTAGACGAACACGTACTAATTATTTCAGTCGACCACTATCACTACTAAAATTAATGCCGACAGCCAAAAAGTGGATTATTGACAGAAGTATAATTAGGTTGGAAAAAAACTTGAACATTTGTCACACATCGATATGGAATATGTAGAGTAGCTAAATGAGATGAAATTCCTAGGTGAGAGTATCAGATGATATCGTTGGAAATCGATAACAGTACAACATAATGATATCAATAAATATTAATATTCCTATGATACATTTCAAATTGAAAATGTGATAATTATTCTCATATAATTTATTTTAATGAATTTTAGTTGTTAAACAAAATAGATAAATTGTGGACAATGAAAAAATGTGAATTAATTAATCAAATTGGTTTGAATACATGCCAATATGATAGAACTGATATAAATGAAATAAAAAATAATGATGAAACTATTAAAGATAATGATGAAAATTTTAAACAAAATCAAACAATAAATAATAAGATATTTAAACATGGAACTTTTATTTCAACTTTAAGATTAAATTGTAGTTCACAAAATATTGCACAACCAAAATTTTATAAACAACTTTTTAAAATATTAAAATCTGAAATAAATTTATCTGATTTAAAATTACTACTTAAATCAGCAACAGATGAATTTCATGAATTATTTGTATTTATGAAAGAAAATTTAAATGATCAACAATCATCAGGATTATTTAATTGGTTGAATTTAACAAATAATATCAATGATTTAGAAGATGTACTTTGTGTAAGTCTAATAAATTTGTCAAATATTCTTCTTTAAAGGAAAATAATTCATTATGATATTTTACGTTAATTAATTAACTAATTATTATTGTGAATGGCTTTATTCAATATTATATTTTGGTACAATATAGAATTCTCATCACAAGGTATTTCAACAAGTTACATATGCAGAAAAACAGTAACAAAGACAAAAAAAACAGGAAAAAAAAGGTTTAAAAAATATTGAAAAGAAACTGTACAACTTTTCAAATTAGAGACATGTTAAGAATGAAGGTTATTGACTAGGTTAACTCTAACAACCCGTTCGTCACAGAGTATATTTGATAGGTAAGGTATTATAGAACTTTTATACTTTTGCTTGCGTGCATGGATTTTAATGTAATTACGTCTCGTTCTACCAAAAGGTATACAAGGAGAAAGATAAGAGTGAAGGGGATGGCTAGTATCTGATAAAATAACACCTTTCAGGAGTTTGCATGACTTTAGATGTCTATCCACAACCGTATTAATTATGATCTCGAAAGATTTACCACACATCTTGCTAACTGCCTTCAGCACTCTCTGCAATACAGCAAAGTCTTTTCTCAAAAGCCCGGGAAAGAATAATGGAGAACAGTAAAGAATAATAGGTAATATGCAAGAATTGACAAATTGTAAGAGTAAGTGACGAGTAATCCCAAGAGTATGCAATCTCTTTATGTAGTAAGTTAGACGGAAAACCTTCTTCGATAACAATAAAACGTGGAAGACCAAGAGAGATTAGAGGAAAAGGTAACACCAAGATAATTGACCTTCGACACTGTTTATCAAAGAGTCTCCAATAACACAAGCATTATGGGATCTCAAAATGTTGTTTAGATTCCGTTCATGTCTCATGCTAAAGTTAACAGCTTGACATTTAGACGGATTAAGTACGAGACCATTACCAACAGACCAACAATCAATACGAAATTACTACTTTTAAGTACTTGATAGTCATTGAACATTCAATTATTATTTGGTCCTGTTGCAGAAGTCATGTAAAGTATGCGCTTAATACGGCTTGTAACCTTCCTTGATGAGTGTGGATTCGTTCATGTAAATGGTGTGTAAATAATTATTAGTGAAATATGCTGTCACGAAATAGATTTTGAATTTTTCTGGATAACATAATAGGTATTTTGGGTACATTCAACTTGTAATCAAAACTAAGTGAAATTAACTAGTTTCTTGCAGAATTATACATACAAAAATCTTTCGATTTAGATTTTAATAATTTGTTTGAATGCTCCATAAAGAATAGTTCAATGTGGGAATACTTTTCGTCACAAATTAATATTCGATTAGGAGCTATAGAAAAATATACGAAGCACTAAAGTTGTTTTATGATATTTTTAAAATTTTCTTTCAGTGCTTCTCCATGATCTCATACCAGGATGAAATAACTATCCTTTGCTATCTGGCTTTTGTCCATGATCTATGTGAATTTGATTCATTTATGTCAGAATATGGTATTCTTCAACGGATTTTTCAATTTTGACTACTTTTACAAGTTCCTATGACAGGAATTGACAACGAACTTTTCATCTTATTTAGAACCCTTCATGACTACGATGAAAGTCTACCCATTTGACAAGTTACAAGTAAAATAAAACACATATCTCAGATCTTACTATTAGTCACTGTTTAAAATACTATTTGATCGTAAGTTCAGAGACAAATTCAAAGAAATTCTCCAGTAGACATAAAATTGACCTACATTATAACTATACACATGTTAAACTCCAGGGTATTGAGCCTAGATGGTCGCATTTAGGTTAATTTAAATTAGTCATTAGCAGCTAGATTGAATGCACTTTAAGTATATGTGTAGGTATTTCCTGGAGTTCTGGTGAGAAACAGTGACCAGTGGAGTTCAACCGGGTCTGTTGTGAGATAGTAACTCACTAGTGACAATGGTGGGTGTGTCGCCTAATTTCGTGAGTTAGTTGAAGTCAGACATTAACACCGTTGGATGCCGGCTCAGTGGTTTAATGGTTATGTCCTAGATTCGAATCTCGAGATGCGCGATCGTGGATGCGCACTTCTGAGGAGTCCCACAATACGATGAAACGGCCGTCCAGTGATTCCAGGTTTTCTATGGTGGTCTAGCTTCAATTGACTCATGATCTCAACTACTAAAATTAATAAAATATCCACAAAATTCCTTCTGATATGTATATTTAACTGATTCAGAAGAAATTCATTTCAAGTAAAGTTTTGAATCCATTAAGATGTAATGTATGGTAAATCAGAATATGAATTTGATATCATTCTTCCCTTAACGAATACTCTTATTTAATTTAGTCTACATTGTGTATTATGAATATATTTCTGCTACGTTTCACAAGTTCCTAATTAAAATTTTGTCTGTTTTCCTGATTTGAAGAGATTATCAAGTATACTGACTATTCAAGAACGTAATTTAATCAAACTAATCGATTTAAATGACTTAGGCATATCAACTTTTGTTCATATGATTGAAAAACTTAAGATAATTTAAACAATGGACAAGAGGAAGAAGGACCACTTTTCGACTTAAACGAATTACGAGAGAGATTCAAAAATGGAAAGATTTAATGAAACTAAATGACTGCGATCCTTTTCAATCGAATTCTGTTGTGGATAAATTATCCCTGGATGGAGAAGAAGACAGCGATAAAAATGATAAGTAAATATAATCATTGTTATCTTTGACTTCACTTTAACAATATAGTTAATGAGTCAAACGTTCACACTATCCCATTTAATAACTACATGTAAGAAAGTTGGAAACTACAAGATAGTTACCAGTTAATAATATTTTCAAGATTCGTAGAATGAAGAGACATCTTAAACTTAGGAGTTCATGTGCTTAATCCATCTACAGAACTTGACTCAATAAGAACGCTCAATCAAAACTTTAAGTCCAGGGAGTTTGGTTAACTACAATTAGTCCCCTTTCGTATTTTATGTGGTAAGGAGATTATTATATCGTTTCGTGCTATGTCTTTCAACTAATGGTGTCTAGTAACAACCAGTGGTCAAAGACTTTGAGCGACATGACTCAAAACCGTTCGCAACATGCCACGTGTATTCACACTTTGTCTTCCCTCAAATCCTAATTTTCTAAATTACCTTATAAATTATTTTCTTATCCCACTCGTTCATATTTTCTCCATTAATCACATCTTCCATCCGAAATCTTTTCAACCACCACTAATACTGTTACTACCGCTACTACTTTGGATCTAACTTGATAATTTCATATAACTTTCCTACTGGGGCTGTGGTGTGTGCTGCTTATGTCAATATAAGTAGTATATAACGTTAGTCAGGGATAGAATGTCTGGCAGCAGAAGTTTGAGAAGATCGAGGAGGGAAGAATGGGAACAGAAAGAAATCGGTATGGAAATTCAGGAACAATGAAGTCTGAGACAATTAATGAACCTTTTGCAAATGAAGTATTGGAGTATAGCTTTTCTATTTTACCAAGTAACTCAGTAATTTGATACTGAATAAAGTCGATTGTCCACACCTGTGTTCTCCCTCACTATAGGGAGAGAAAACTTGAATTAACGTAAACGTGTGATAGATTCTATGTTAAGTATGATTGAAGGATTATAGTCTTCATCTCTCATCTATGAATTTTGTCAATATGGTTTGCATCAGTAATGTCTCTCTCTTAACCACTATTTTACATGACATTTTAATAGTAAAAAATGTTTTTAGATGGACTGGTCAATTATGAACCGGTAGACGGTAACAACGTTTGTCAGTTGACTCCCATACGGTAAAAATAAAAGATGTATTTGTTCAGCCGTTATATGTAATCCATTAGAACTTCTGATGAAGTTCAAACTACCAACATTCTCTCTTTGGTGTACATGCACACACACATAGTGATAAGGTTTAAACTACTAAAGTGTTTAAAAGAAGAAAATATCTTTAAAATAATTGATTTCGAGTCATCTTCATTAAAATCTCTGTTTGAAATGCTGTCATGTATTAAGCTAGTCAACTAGAAGCTGTTTTATCCTCTGTTATGATCATTTGTCTTGTTTTGTTCTTTATGGCAATCACTGACGATCTGTTGATTCATCCGAAAAATGAGATACTGATTTTGTTCATCGTCGTTACTCTTAAATAGCTAAATACATTTAATCAAAAGTTTTATTATTTTATTTTTGTGTCATTATTTGCTCTATGTATTTTGGAACGTTTCGTTAAAATAGATTGAATAATGTAAGTAAAGTATGTCAAATAAATCGAAGTAGTGAACAGGAAGTATCTAGTCTAGATTTATACCGAATAGCTCACGTCAGAAAGGTGTGTTTGTGATCTTGATGATATTATATACTCATACTATATTACGAAATTTCAGACACTCCTTGATGACTAATAACAGTCAAAGCCTAATGGTACGTTCAACCCTTCTTTATATTTGACTGAAACTATTTAACATGAAAAAGTAGACCGCAGTGTCTAATTACGCCCCTTGGTAGGTACATTACAACTTGATCAATATCATTCAGTTAACGCCAAGAAGTTGATATATAGAAAATTAATAACAGAAATAATATATATTTATAAAGTCCCAATGAGCATAGAATTAGATTTCTGACGTTTCGTGACTTAGCGTAAGCCATTTATTTAAAAGGGTGAAAAAAAATAAACTAACACAAGTCCTTCAAAATCTAACCAAATCAATAAATGTGAAAAGATTAGAGAAAGAATAAATGGAAAGAAAACAGTGATTACGAAAGTTGATTCTGACGACTTAAAAGAAGCTTATGATATCTCAGGCAGAACTCTGAATAAGCACGAAATCACTCTCCTAGAAAAAAGGATTAAATTTGAATTAACACAGAAAACCCCTTAACATACTAGAAATCTCCCTATTTCTATCGATATATGTCTCGATTATATTGATTTTTTACTAGAGAATGGTATCTAACGGATCCCCATTGAGGATAATTAAACCACCCCAAATCTGCCTGAATTCAGCCTTATTTGTGTTCTAAGGGACTTTACATAAACAAACTAATGAAGTAGACAAGGGATCACATGTGCCATTGATTGTTGCTTATTTGTTAATTTCTCATACAGAATTCCATTGTAGATCACTGTCCGCGATCTGTGTCGATGATTTGGGGTTTACTCTATTTGAACGTGAATGGTGTGACTTTCCAGCTTATGTCAAAATCACACATCGCAATTAATACCTAACGTGGATTACCCTTCCGTCGTATCCGGAAACTATGGTTATTTTTATGACTGTATAACCAAAGCATAACGTTATGACAAAAATGTATGAATAAGAGTAGGTACCAGAACAGTGCGACCTCTGCTGCATGGGGCAATCCATAGCGTGCAATTGATTGATGCACGTTGGTTGTCCTTGACACTGAAGAAGATCGGTAAACTGTTCGATATTTAGTGACCCGACTGCCGGACGATTTGTCCAGGGCACAGTGACATTTCACTGACCCTACAGCATATTTCTATCAGTAATGTCAGACTATGCACTTAGCTCATATATGTATATGGCGCTTTCGTCATCATGAAAAAGACTTTCCTCAGGAACTTTTCTAAACTATTGGATACTCTTTCAGTCCACATACAATTCACCTTCGAAAATGAACTCGATGAACTGCTATTTCTAGACTGTATAGTCAAAAGAAATTCAGATGGAAGTCCAAATCTAACCATCCACCTCAAGCTGACATACTGAATCGGTGCATTGATTCCAACTTGGGACATCCACGGACTGCAAAAATCACTTTGGATTATAGCACCTCTCCTACTATTAAGTTCGTTAACGATTAATTTTGTAGAGACCTTTTACTAACTTATTTGATGGACAGTGTTATTCGAACAGTAACAATTTGTCTATTTCTTTGTGCTATTATTATTACTATCATGTTTGTATAAACGTGTATGCTTAATTATATGTGACAGCCTACGCGCATATCTCTCCCTAGCTTAAATGTTAGTTACGCGAATATCGCTTGATGAATCGTTCACTTTCCTATATATTGATGTGCCTGAATCTTATTAATTGCTTCGTTTCGATTCGATTTGACTCTGAATCCGCATCTGTATTCGCTTGCTCGCGCTCATTAGCCTTTTTGCTCAAATTCGCTTGGTATGCTTGTAGCTTCGTTACCTGCGCTATCCAATAATAAACTGTAGTCGGCGCTTAGTGTTGTCTTCTGAATTCATACACCATTGGAATTTATTTAATCATGGTTACTAAGGTGATCGGTAAACGAAGTCTAAGGAATTATCTCGAAGCTAAGCAGCTTCAGGTTTCAAACTTATTTAGACAAACGTCAAATAATCATATAAATATTCCTAACCTGACATTCACACTACGAATACCACTTTTTTCATACCTACCTACACACAATTACACATAGAGGAGAGATTATAATTTATGGGCAAACCAATGAGATTAAAGATAGTTAGTCTTCGGTTTTTGCCTGAAACCCATTTATCCAAATGTCTAGATAACATTTTGGAATTATGGCTAGTGTCTGTTCGTGCTGAAAACCCTAACCTTAATTCTCATCCCTATCTCTTAACTGTAAATCCTAATCCTAATTCCTCACACTAATTTACAACCCTCGTTAAACCCTAGAAAGTGAGTAAATTCCCGAAAGGTCACTTTAGCGTCGTTCAGTCGGCCTATATAAAAGTCTCACCCACACAGCTAGATCTCTTAATATGGAAAAAACCTTTATCGAATTGACAATATTAACACAATCAGATCTACTTTAATTTTGACTGCACTAAAAATATTCTGCTTGTGCACTTTATAATACTAAGCTTGTGTTGATTTAGTTTGTTATTTATTTCTATTCTCTGAAAAAACACCTTACTCTAAGTTACAAAAATCTTATTTTTCTACTCACTGGGACTACAAATTTTCTCTTTCTTTTGATTAATAACAATGTTCAGTATACTGAAAAACACCGAGTTAAACCTTGGTAACAAACAGACAAAAAATTGATTAATAGTCAGTAACTGATTAGTATTAATTAATAATTATTTTAATGATCTTTTAAATGTTAACTCTTAGACTATTGACAAGGAAGAAATATGATTGAGTTTAATAAATGAATGACCAGTCGAGCTGATCCGTGTCGGGTAGAAACAGGTGTCTACCTCAGTACAGTGGAAGATGGTCGCGCAATTTCGTGGATTGGTTGAGGTTAGACATTAGCACCATCGGATGCTGACTCAGTGGTTCAGTAGGTTAGGCGTTCGCGCGCGAGACTGAAGGCCCTGGGTTCGAATCCCGCGGGCGGGGTCGTGGATTCGCACTTCTAAGGAGTCCCACAATACGACGGAACGGCCGTCCAGTGCTTCCAGGTTTTGAATGGTGGTCTAACATCAATCGGTTCATGATCTCAATCAAAAATAAACGAATTTAGTTGATTTATTATCATTAATTTGTTTTTAATTCAAATTATATGTAATCTCTTTGTTTACAATGAACTGTTATATTTTAATTTCAGATTTAATCAAACACAATTAACTATTCAATTAAATGATCAATCTACATTAAAGTTAATTATAAATATGCAACAAATTTTAAATCAAAGATTATGTGAATTAAATTTCAATTTAGTCAATAATGTTAATAAAATTGATATGAAACGATCAATAGTATGCCAGTTAACTACCGAATGGTTATCTAGTTTAGTTATATGGGTTTGTTTAAGAAATTGTAATTCTGAACAACAGGCATTATTTGAAAATATTCATAATTATAAATTGAATAATTCAAATAATCTAGAAACTAATTCATCAAAACAAATATGTTTACATCAAATGGATAGAATTGAAGCAATTGAACACAATACAATGGGAATGAATAATGAAGATACTGTTATAAATACTGGTTTTAAGGAGAATGATGATATTATATCCAATGAGAATAAATATTATAATGAAACTGGTATTGATAATGATGATGATGCTGAATGGATTACTTCATGTTTCAAAGAATCTTATCAAGATTTACAAAATCATTTAAATGATTTCAAAACAAAATCTAAATTAGAAGATGTTATTCGTCAATTAATCATTGAACTTGATGATATTTCTACGAATTTGAATATGTACGTTTTCATGTTTTATTAGAAATGAATTGGTTAAGTACATTTCTGACAAGCATGCACAGATTAATAAAAAACAGTAGCTAGTATATATTCATAGACAAGAAAAAAAAGAGGACTGTTTCTTCGAATCTTGTTCAACTGATTTCAGCATAAAAGTTAAAATATAGTGTCAGTGAATAATAGGAGCATCTTATTTGATGCCATGTAACAACAATAGCTAAATAAATACCAATTACATTTAGAAATAGCACTTACTTTAAACAATTAAAAGACTGAACTGTCTACTATGTAGTTATTTAAGTCCTTTGTTGAAATCTGAAGGATATTTGGAAATAGCAAACAGTACTGACCATTCACATTGAAAAGATCTATTCCTTGAACAGTAGTTTAATTTATACCAGGTTGATTTAATTCAGCCCTTGCGAATTCAATCTTATTATACCTTATAATCGTACCATAAATCAGTAATGGTATCAGAAATTATATATTGTAATCTAAGGGATTTCGATTTTCACGGAAAGATTATGGTGAAATTCATTAAAAGATTATGATTAATTAATGTTAAGTATTTTTATCTTGGATTTTCCAAATATAGAAATACATCTATTATCACAGAACTAGTTCGATGCAATTATTTTTTCAATGTTATTGCTCAGCTGATACTAAACTTTCACAAAAGTTCTATAGAACATATACAAAGCTATTAGGTCAACTGTCATAACAACAGAAATTTACTTAAACTAAGGTTAAGCAAGACTCCTTCAAGACAAAAAAAGAGGGCATTTCAATGAACGTCATCCAATGCTATGCACCTACCAACGACTACAATGAAGAAGCCAAAGATCAATTCTACGATAGGCTGCAGTCAATCGTCGAGAATCGCCCAACAAAGGACCTGACCATTCTGATGGGAGATTTAGATGTCAAGGTTGAAATGCACAACACTGGATATGAAGACATCATGGGACGGCACGGACTGGGACAAAGGAACAAAAATGGTGAGAGATTTGCAAACCTATGTGCCTTCAATAAACTGGTCATAGGCGGCACTATATTCTCACACAAACGCATTCACAAAATCACATGGACTTCACCGGATCACACTACGCAAAACCAAACCGACTATATCTGCATCAACAAAAAGTTCAGGAGGACGATGGAGGACGTGAGAACCAAGAGAAGAGCTGATATAGCATCAGATCATCACTTGCTGGTCGCCAAGATGAGATTGAAACTCAAGAAGCATCAGACAACAAGACGGAAAACAGCACAAAAGTTTAATATGGCTTTTCTTCTGGATACTGACAAACTCAAAAAATTCAAAATAGTCCTCAGCAATAGGTTCCGGGCCTTTCGTGATCTACCAATGGAGAGTAACTGGAAAGGGGTAACAGAGACAATCACTTCAACATGTCATGAGGTTCTGGGCCATAAGAATCACCATCTCAAGGAATGGATCACTGTTGATACACTGGATAGAAAGGAGGAACAAGAAGGCAACGATCAATACCAGCCGAACAAGAGCAGAGAAAGCCAAGGCACAAGCTGAATACATAGAATTAAACAAGCAAGTGAAGAGGAGCATCAGAACTGACGAACGTAAATATGCGGAGGATTTAGCAATGACGGCGGAAAAGGTTGCAAGAGAAGGAAACACAAGACAACTGTATGACACAACAAAGAAACTCGCTGGAAATCACCGTAAACCAGAACGACCAGTGAAAAGCAAGGAGGTCAAGGAAATCACCAACATTAAAGAACAACGAAACAGGTGGGTAGAAAACTCCAGACAAATCTTGAATCAACCGGCTCCACTGAATCCATCCAATATCGAAGTAGCACCCACGGGCCTCCGAATCAATGTTGGCCCACCAACATTTGAAGAAATCAGCATGGCTATCAGACAAATCAAGAGTGGCAAAGCAGCAGGACCAGACGACATTGCAGCAGATGCACTGAAAGCAGACGTAGCGGCAACTGCAAGGATACTCCACATTCTCTTCAATAAGATTTGAGATGAAGAACAAGTACCAACAGACTGGAAAGAAGGACTACTGGTCAAAATACCAAAGAAAGGCGATCTCAGCAACTGTGACAACTACAGGGGCATCACTCTTCTCTCAATACCAGGAAAAGTTTTCAACAGGGTATTGTTAAACAGAACGAAGGACTCCGTAGACGCCCAACTTCGAGACCAACAGGCAGGATTCCGTAAGGATAGATAGTGTACAGACCAAATCGCAACTCTACGGATCATTGTGGAACAATCAGTTGAATGGAATTCATCACTCTACATCAATTCCATTGACTACAAGAAAGAGTTTGATAGCGTGGACAGGACAACACTATGGAAGCTTCTTCGACACTATGGAGTACCTGAGAAGATAGTCGATATCATACGGAATTCCTATGATGGACTAAACTGCAAAATCGTGCATGGAGGACATTTGACAAACTCGTTCGAGGTAAAGACCAGTGTCAGGCAAGGTTGCTTACTCTCACCCTTTCTCTTTCTCCTGGTGACCGACTGGATCATGAAAACATCAACATCTGAGGGTAAGCATGGAATACAGCGGACACCTAGAATGCAGTTGAACGATCTGGACTTCACAGATAATCTGGCTCTTCTATCGCACACGCAACAACAAATGCAGGAGAAGACGACCAGTGTAGCACCAGCCTCAACAGCAGTAGGTCTCAACATACACAACGGGAAAGCAAGATGCTCCGATACAACACAGCATGCAACAATCGAATCGCATTTGACAGAGAAGCTTTGGAAGATGTAAAAACCTTTACATACCTGAGCAGCATCACTGATGAACAGGGTGGATCTGATGCAGATGTGAAGGCGTGGATCGGCAAAGCAAGAGGAGTATATTTACAATTGAGGGACATCTGAAACTCAAAGCAACTGTCAACCAACACCAATGTCAGGATTTTCGACAGAAATGTCAAGACAGTTCTAATGTATGGGGCAGAAACCTGGAGAAATACGAAAGCCATCATCCAGAAGATACAGGTGTTTATTAACAGTTGTCTACGCAAAATACTTCGAATCCGTTGACCGGACACTATTAGCAACAACCAACTGTGGGAAAGTACAAACGAGATCCCAGTGGAGGGAGGAATCAGGAAGAAGCGGATAGGAAGTGGATAGGAAACACATTGGGGAAAGCACCAAACTGCATCATAAGGCAAGCCCTCGCATGGAATCTTCAAGGCCAAAGGAGAAGAGGAAGACCAAAGAACACATTACACCGACAAACGGAGACAGACATGAGGAAAATGAACAAAAATTGGATAGAACTGGAAAGGAAGGCCCAGGACAGAGTGTGTTGGGGAATGCTGGTTGGCGGCCTATGCTCTATTAAGATTAACAGGCGTAAGTAATTAATTAAGATAGAATGGATATATTTTAAGTTATAAATTAAAGGGAATTTACTTAACCTGAGATATGGATTGAAATATCTTTCTGTTGTTTAACTTATATGCGGAAAGGAAAAGATGATAGCCCATTCACTCCTTCATTCGAATGACAAATATGTGTTCATTTCTCTATCAAGTCTTTCGGGGGATACAACTTCACTTGCACACCACACTAGCGCTACTTGAAATACAATTCATCGGCCGACGTAAAATCTATTTGTCGAAAATCCCTTTCAAAACTACAATCAACGCCAACTCTCAACATATACAAGACTGACCCCAAAGATTTCAAATGTTACACACAAGGCACCCATGATTTACTACATATGTCAATAAGATTCATTCGAACGAGCATGGCAAATCTTGTTATTGAACACTTCGTCGGATAGAAACACAACAATCTCAACAGATCGTCTATCTTAATTAAATTTTGTAATTTTTTCGAATGTTCGATGACTATTTTAATTGTATTCCAATCATTTATCCCAATATTCAATTTGTAATAATCAAAATTTACTATTTCAATTTCAGAAATACTTGTCTAACTAAATATTTCAAGAATCAAATAGATTTCGAAATATGGGAACAACAAAGAAACGAACTAAATGTAATTCATATTTATTAGAATAATTTTCTTTTACAACTTGAAATAAATTTTTATTTTCCACAGTTGGCCAAACAGGAATTCATTCAAGCTTGGAATAATTTACTCAATGAAATATATCAAAATCATTCTGATGAACATTCAGAAAATGCAAAGACAGACTTTTCGAAAGTAACACATTTTCACAGGATTTGTTTTTACGCTACTATATTTCTTCCTAAATTAGGGCCACAATAAGGAGGAGCATGAAGTTTCAAAATCCAATGTCAATAACAATCTGAACTATTTACACGAATCCAATCAGGATGGATTCTTCTGTACTGATTCAATTGATTATATCAACAGACAAATGGAGTAAGTATTCACTTATGTACATTTTGATCTCAGTAATTTTTATCAAAATTGGTCAATGTTAATCACTAGTAATAGTTACTGCAGAGGATTTTTATTTTAATCGCCATTGATGATACTTTGTTACTGTGTCTTCTCTCACTTAACTGATATCCAAGCAACTAGTCATAAAGAGGAAAGACAGGTCAAGTGGGTCATAAGTGTTTTATTTTCTTTCTCTAACACCTATATGGTCATATACGTGAAAAATATGACTACAATGTACATACTACAAGCCCGTTAAACTTCTTGGAGCATAAACCACCGATCAGGGATCTCCAAGCTACTCAGTCATGAGCTTTCATTTACAGTTGATGCCAAGTGCTATACATGATCTTGATGTTCGCGTCCAGTTCCCGGCACCTTGTTTCCTTTAGTCTCCATTGCTTCCTTCTGACTTGAGTATTCTAAGTTGAACCTAGCTTATGGTTTAGCTTAATGGTTTCTGCTGAGTGTACCCTATCCACCTCCACTGTCTCCTCCTAATTTCCTTTTCAGGCGTCAGCTGGCTTGCCCGCTGCCACAGTGATATTTAGATGTGATCGATCTGATTTTCTGTAGTGTGGTCGAGTGAAACTGATGTAGCTTTGTGTATGCATTTGTGGGTGAGAATGGTACTACCTATAATGGTTTTGTTGCAGGCATGTAAATTAGCAAATCTCTCTTCATTTTTGTTCCTTTCTCCAAGTCCATGTCGTCCCAAGATATCCTCATACCTCGTTCTAGCCATTCCGACCCAGGTGTTTAGTTCTCCCACCAGGATGACCAGGCCCTTTTCTGGGCACTGAGCTATGGTCGATTCCAGCCTCTCATAAAACTGATCTTTGTCATCTTCATTACCATCAATGGAGTTTGCGCAGCAGTGGACGGAATTCATCACAATCCCTTATTCATTTATTATTCTCTATACAACATCAGTGCAATTCCTTGCGTGTGCGAGGCATTTTCATCTTTATGACCAGAGTACAACGGCATCTCTCCTGAAGCTAGTCTATTCTGTTCGAATAATGTCAGAGGATTTATCTCCTCGCTTCCGCCCCTGTTTAAATGTCCCTCCTAGTCTTCGTATTGTCCAGACACTCAGCAAACCTATATTAACTATTTCTCCAGTTGTCAGAAGAGACATCAAGCTATTGGCTACCGAAGGTTTCGGAGTTCCACCAAGAGGCGTCATAACTCTTCTCTGCGAAGACCCTTCAACCCCCTACATCGACTACAACTGAATGCAGTGTCACTCAGTTATAGTCAACGTAGAACCTGAAACAAACGTGGCTTAATTCATGTTTCCGTATCATATTCGCTCAACAAAATGAAATTAACAAGAGGAATAACATAAGAGCCAAAATAATAATAGGGTCAATAGACTGAACAAAACCGACCATTAAGAATAATTTTTTTGAAGAAATAATGAAAATGTATAGATGATAGAACTCGGAAACACAAGATCTAGGTGGAAATAATGAGTAGACGTTCCTGCAACATTGTGATCGATTTTAAATCACACCATCACATGTCTCTACTAGTCGCGGTTATTATAGAAGCTTCAACTAATTAGTTTTAGCTACCCATAAGACTTAGCCCAGCAGATAATGACTTCTCAGACATGCCACATTTTGTTTTGGCCACCCGTTGTTTCCTCCTAATCTGGTTCTACCTCAGAAAACATTGAACGTCGAGGCAAGTGGTGACCATGCATAAGTAAAAAATGTCTCGACCACCTTTGTCGATAAACAACAAGGTTTTATTTCAGAAAAGATGTTCGAAATGTTGAAACCTACAGGAACGATGACACCAAGACTATATGGCCTACCAAAAATACACAAAAGTGGCTTACCCCTTCGACCAGTTTTAGATATGAATAACTCAGCGTATCATACTATAGCAAAATGGTTGGTGCAAATTCTTAAACCATTACACAAAGAAATTGTCAAGCATAGTGTCAAGGATTCCTTTGAATTTGTTGAGAACATAAAAAATCTATCAGTCAAGAATAATTTCATGTTATCACTTGATGTATCATCTTTATTCACTAACATTCCACTACAAGAAACAGTTGATTTTATTTGCAATGAACTAACAGAGAGACGCATAGAAACCCCGATTCCAGCATCCGCGATAAAACAGTTAATTCTCAGATGCACAATGAATGCACAATTCAGATTTGACAACGAATACTATAGACAGCTAGATGGAGTTGCCATGGGATCACCATTGGGCCCTCTACTGGCTGATATTTTCCTTGCAAAACTGGAAAACGGACCACTTAAAAGCATAATTAGCCATTTACCAACTTATTATCGCTATATAGACGACACCTTCATAGTACTAGAAAAAGAGAATGATAAGGACAATTTACTTAATACATTTAATAACGTTCATCCATCAATTAATTTTACATCAGAAGATGAACAGAACGACAGCATATCATTTCTAGATGTCCAACTAAAAAGAAGAGCAGACGGAACTTTAAAAAGAGGGGTACACAGAAAATCTGCAGCAGGACAATACACTCATTTCTATAGTGCAGTTCCAATCAGATACAAAAGGAACTTGATAAAAATCTTGACACATCGGGCTAGAATGATTTGCTCTGAAGACACCATCGAAGAAGAATTGAATAATATTCGGAACCTACTTAGCATGAATGGGTATCCCATGAAATTCATCGACAAACATATGATGGAGAAGAAAACAAGGACAAAGATACCCACCGTCCATAAGAAGGTACTATTCATAAAACTACAATTCATAAATGACACCATTGAAGAAACCTTGACTCAGAAACTAAGAAGAGCCGTACAAAAAACATTTAATGCTGCCAGATTAAATGCAATCTTCTACAACTATCCTAAGATAAGAACAGCCAACAAAGACAGACTGCCTGAATTCGCCAAATCTATGTGTATCTATCGTTTCAACTGCTCCTGTGGAGCCAGTTATATTGGGCGTACAATTCGGCAAGTCCGTCATCGCATTACTGAACATCATCCGTCGTGGTTAAACAAAGGACAGGTAAAAGTGATTAAAAGTTCTATTCTCTCTCACTTGGTTGACACAGGTCATCAAGTCGAATTGAATAAAGCTTTTAAGGTTATCTACAATATCCCATCTAATTTGCCACATGGTTTACGAGTGCGCCTCTTGCACATTGCGGAAGCCATCGCAATCCATGTTCACAAACCTGACCTTTGCATTCAAAAGAGATTCGTACAACCACTTTCCCTGCCCTGGCCATCAGTTTAAGATTTCCTTCAAAAGAACTATTTTTCATACTTCTTCCTTTTTTTTTTAAAAAACTTTTGTAATTTTATTTCTGTTGCTTTTGAACTTAATAACTTCTCAACATTCATCTCTTGATTCTTACGTAACTACCATCCTATTGACCATCCGTTAAAATTCTGTTCCTTCTTTGTTTCTTACATTACGCAACTTAGCAACTTCTTGATCACTTTGAATATTAATAATCCTCTTTCTTCCAATTAATCAATGTTAATTTAAATGTCATTATGTAATTATTACGTAACGTATCCACTCGATGAGTATTATATTATTATTGTAAAACGTATATATATTAGTGTAGAGCCATGATGAAAAACTAATTGAAAAGAAATTTCTTCGCTCAATTCGTTCCTTCTTTATTTAACAAATGGCAAAATGGGAATATTCACTTTGTCGATAAGTTTGTAAATCTTTATGAAGATTCATAATCCCATCAACCGGTTTACTATCTTTACTTTGTACCCTACCTCTAATCTCTCGATTGTTCACTAATTTATTCAATAATATCCCAGTGATGCTTCAAGGAGATCTAGGATCAGGTACTGGTGGACTATGAAGATTCTACGTCTTCAAAGGCCACATTTGGTAGATATAGAGTAAAATAAAGGGGACTGCTTAACAATATAATTAGCCCTTCGTTCCTTGACATGTTGCTAAGGCCACAAGTTACAAATTTGGCAAGAGCAAAACGAGCCTTCTGAATCAGTCAGTTTTCATCAACGACTAACTAACTAAAGCCAAGAAAACTTCCATGTAAAGTGGAATAGCTGATGGATCCAGTTAATTCGTCGTTACAATTAGTCTAGATGTTGGGACAGACTACTCCTGAAGCAACCTTTAGAAATATAAACGCTTACCTAACATCATAAATTTATATTCAAAGTGTTAAAAAGACTGTGCACTAGATTAGGATCTTCACCAAGCTCAGCTAGGCCGTTTGATTTACCAGCGTGTAGTAGATTCTACTCTGATAAATGTTTCTTCCTTGTTGGTGATATTTAAGTATAAATTAAAAGAACTTCATGTCTGGATTGATATCTTTTGATAAACATAAATGCACTCCTTTTAAGTGTTTATTTAAAGTAGGAACATAATTCAAACCAAAGTTGTACCATGTTTCGAATTGTTTTGATCTGTCAGTTATTTCGTACTACAATATTTTCATATTGTTATCAATAGCTGTCGTAATTGTGGCAAAAAGTTTACTTTGTTGATCCTCAAAGTTCGCTTTCAGAATTTCTCATTACGAATTTTTTATTTTAGAGCAGCATCAGAACGTCAGAAGGCTTCTTTCATAAAACGTAAAAATCTTGAAGATGCGATACAAAAAAACAAGAACTAAAGAATAAACTCGAGAAAGAAATAGAAGATATCGATCAAAAGTTGATTGAACTTCGTAAAACACTAAGTGATGCATTTGAAAGTATGCAATTAGAAGTTCAACACGGAAAATCTTAAAAAACTGCAATACAGAATATTTCTTATATATATATATATATTATATTTATATAATAATATATATATATATAATATATATATATAATTAGTAGATTAATTTGTTTTCATGTTTTGTAATTGTTACGTTCGATAAATACACTCATTAAAAAAGCAAAGTGGCAAACCTATTCTAGTGTAAAGTTGAACATTTTATGTTTGACTAATTAGTAATTGACACATTTTTGGTTGGAACGTAAATCGACTCAATTTCATTCATCTGTGAGAAAGTAACTTTGCCTTTTTTTAAACTCATGTAATCCGTGTAACTTGCAGCCTTATAGTATTTATAAAAAACGTCGAAGCCTGTTTAGTACGGCTTGTATGATGAGAACGGCAACCGTTAAGTGACTGTGAAAAGAAAAATGAAAGGATGAATAAATTGAGCAGAAATGTTTTGAGCTATTATAGTGAACGATGCTCACAGGGATGTTGGTAAGTGGTGTGCGGCGGGACGTGGTGTTGAAGTTGCGACAAATGTCGAAAAGTAATGTTTCAGTGCATCAAAAGCACGGCGTTGACAGAGCACTTGAAGTCCAGACAAGAAGATAGTTCGGATTTCAGAACACATCTGAAGATACAAATGGATGACTAAAGGCTGTGTATATGTATTATGTCAACACAGTAATTTCTCTCAACAATATATGCATTTCTCCTGACTATTCTCGTGTTTTACTCTATTAGTCGACGAGATGAGAGTTTTCGCACACTTTAGATTTAGATAGATGCTGCATGTGGATTGTCTACGTAAGTGTTGAACTAACAGACGTAAATCAATCAACTATTTTCCCATTGTAATATCAGATTAATAACAAACGTACATTGAAGATTGTCTTCTATCCTCACTTGTTGGATAGATGTTATCTTGTGTTGTTACTGCGATCATGTGTAACAGTAAAGTACCCAAAACAAAGTAAACCATACATATTTGTTGTTCGGTGTAATTTATTCACTATTACCGTACTTATTCTTTTGTTCATACATAACACAGGTAAAACTGGATTCGACAGTACATATGTTGATTAAGTATTTCAAAATGTAAGTGAATATTTTTCCAACCCAAGTTTTAACTGACAAGTAAATAAGTACTGTAAGTATTCGCATAAAACATTTGCAAATAGGAATAGTCAACACAGAGATCACAAAGTATACGAATAACATAATAAAATAGGTCAAATCAGTTTTGAAATAATCATTAAAAAGTGAATAATTTGATTTTATAGGTTACAATACAGTTAGTTGACAGTATTTTGCTTGATATGTATTCCATTGAATTATTAGCCTACTCCGTTTATGGTATATTCCATTAACTCGTGTGCAATATATTTGATTCCTTCTCCCTAACCCTGATGATTTTTGGGACTTCCAAGTTATTTTTAAATATAAAAAATCATGGTCCGATCAAATCTCATCAGTAGTTAAGGTCATCGAGTAAATGTCTGAGACATCATGAAGAGAGCAGATTCTAGGATATATTGGCCAAATTTGCATAAGAATTCCTTATGATATGCAAAGAAAACTAAGTAATGTCTTTTCAACAAGTTTGTTATAACTAGGTTTTAGAGTCAACACCAAGAAACTTATCTATATTAGAAGACAACTTAGTAAGCTTGTGGAAACACTTTGTTTGTACAAAAGTTTGATCTGAAAGAAAAGGATCAATCAAACTCGTGTTGATGCAGTTCGTTTATTTATTTGTTGTATGAAGAAGCGACCTACACCAAGCCGTGAAACGTCAAGAATCTAATTTTCTATCCATTGAAGTACTACAAATAATAATTATTTTTGTCAATACGAAAGAATCATTTGAAAAATAATGCTCTCAAATCAGAAAAATAACCTCAGTAGACAAAAACTCACTTGGACTTAGAATAATTCCGCAATCATACAAAATGGATTTCCAACTCAATATCGACCGACTTCAACAAAGTTGTCTTTAAGAATCTACCTTTAACTATACAGCCTGCCGTCAAGACTTAAGCCCGTACTAACTACTTGTCAAGCACATGATATTGGGATTGAAACAGTGTTTTTGGTTTGCTTTAAAGAGATTATAATTTACTGAATTTTAGTTACTTTGATCGAACATTGGAAAGGTATGGTAGAACCCGAACGATCACATTCTAACTATTAAGATAGTACTTTATGCATTAGCAAAGTACATCTATCAAGATTCCACTTGTTTGTTTGTTAACAAACTTGACTAACAATCTTTGGAATCCAGTGCTAATTATCGTCCTCTATATGTCGCACTATTTTGGTTTGATAACAGGACCCATTGGTCCTGCAGTTCACTGATAATCACATGCTCGTCAAGTTGAATTCGCCACATTACTAAAATACCGGTAAACACCTTTACATATATATAGTCCGGCTCCAGACCAGTCTCAGAGCACCACAACTCATATAACAACTTTATAAACGGGATTAAAAGTGCAGGACCTCATGGAGACTATCACACATTGTACTGTAGGAAGAGTAAGTCAGCTTTGTTGGAAACACTACAAAAGGAAAGTTAAAATAACGAGTGGTAAAATGCACAATATGTAAACTAATCAACCCCTTCGAATCAGTGATTTCTTTGATAGTTTATATGCAATCGCAGAAACTGCTTCTCACGCCCACCTATTAGTGAAATCGATATGGTTCAGACCGCGTTTGTTGGCTTCGCAGTTTGAACCAGATTTTTTACTTGATTCCAATCTAGACAAGGTGTTATATGTTGTCAGTCAGGCTACATAGTACATAAGCAAGACACCTTACTCAACGTAAGTTCACAAATTCATATACATTGTGTCCTATTTAAAACTAACATTAGCACAAAATACTTCAATCTATATTTGCAATATGTGAGTAGACTAGCATCCGACTTCCGTTCGAAACCTTACACAAACGACCAGCCCAGTGCTTCGACAATTTTTCCACAGGATTGCTTGGATCTGCTAAATCAAACAAGTGAGAAACGCCGAAGTTTGGAAAATGTGTCGAGTGGGTTGATAGGCTCTATCGATTGATATGTCTTAGACTTAATAAGTTAACACCTACCTCGACATCCAGTAAAAATCAATGTCCGGTAAACCGTGACACGGTACCAGTCAACAAAATTTAACTTAAGCCTCGCAAGTATGTGGAGATATTCTGATCGAGGTATGCGAGATTATCATCGAGTTAGGAGACTCAAACAATGCTGTTCGCGACCGGCTAACACTTTAGCTACCTATTTGTATTACGTCACTCTACGTGTCTCTTAACGTACATGGTGTGATCAGCCTTACTTTACGACTATGAACACAAACATCTGCCGGTCTAATGTGCTTGCACCAACGATCGCAAGACAACTTGTACCAATAATCTAGTCGGTTTAATGAGTGGGGCTGCGCTGTAGATCAGTGGAAAATTGTTCCTCGTATGTGATGCAAACCGAACAGTATAAACCTTAGTGCGAAGCGCTTGAGCTAAGAAGTCGTTACTGAGACCGTACATGCTAGATAGTCAGTTGGCTACCCTAGTTAGGCGACGCACAACATCAAATGAAATCCAGTCGAAATCTTCCCATAATTCAGAAGTCCAACTTACTCCCGAACGGCAGATGGGAGGCATTATCTCAGTCCCTATACGACTGACTGCTTATCCCAGTTAGCGTGTTAATAGGTCTATAAAATACTGTTGGGGAGTTAGGAGATACGACGAAATGAAGCGAAACTGCCAAGCGATAAGACAACTACATGCTGTATTCAAGGCATCTGACAAACACCCACAACAAGAGCTTAAGTTTCAGTGCATGAGACCCGAATAAACAATTTTATTGTAAAGAAAACTGAACTCAAAAAAACAAGCATGTATTATATCTTTTGTCAAACAAACAAAAATGGAGGTAAAAACACGTCGGAGTAATATACAAGGGACACAACAAAGTCAAACCTTTACAGTTCATCTCTTTCCATATCAGGCTGGGCTGGAGGAGGAGCTCCTGACTGCTGGTATAATGAGGAGATTATAGGCTGGACAATGTCATCGAATGCTTTCTTTTTCTGTTTCAATTCTTCAGCCTCAGCTTGGGGATTGCCGTCTAAATATGAAATAGCTTCCTCAATAGCCTTCTCGATTTTCTTCTTGTCATCAACACTAAGTTTTTCCCCAAGTTGGCCTTTGTCTGAAATCTGAGATTTGAGAGTATAAACAGAACTTTCGAACTCATTTCTGGCATCAACACGCTCTTTTAACTTCTTATCTGAAGCTGCAAACTGTTCTGCATCATTAATCATTTTTTCGATTTCTTCTGCATCTAAGCGATGTTGGTCTTTATTGATTTCTATTTTGTTTTTACTACCGGTTCCTTTATCTTCTGCGGAAACTCTCAGTATGCCGTTAACGTCAATCTCGAATGTCACCTCAATTTGTGGAACACCACGCAGTGCCGGGGGAATACCTGTCAGGTCAAACTTGCCAAGAAAATGATTGAACTTTGTCATAGCCCGTTCACCCTCAAAAACTTGTATCGTGACAGTCGGCTGGTTGTCAGCAGCTGTAGAAAATATCTGCGACTTCTTGGTTGGGATAACTGTATTTCTTGGAATAAGTTTCGTCATGACACCACCGACCGTTTCAATACCCAAAGTCAATGGGCATACATCTAAAAGCACAACGCCACCAGTGTTTTCTACACCACCAATAACGCCACCCTGAACAGCTGCACCGTACGCAACTGCTTCATCCGGATTAACTCCTGTGTTAAGTTCTTTTCAAAGAAATTTCGTAGAAGTTCACGAACCTTAGGAATTTGAGTAGACCCGCCAACTAGAATAACTTCATCAATATCTTCCTTTTCATGCCCGCATCTTCAAGGACTTTTTGACTGGTTCCAAAGTTTTTAAGAACAAGTCCATGTTAATTTTCTCAAATGCTGCTCGTGTAAGTGTTTCGGAAAAATCCTCACCATCAATAAGGGACTCAATTGTTAATGTAAAAGATGGGTATGTACTTAGAGTTCTTTTGGCTTTTTCAACTTCCCGTCTCAGTTTTTGTACTGCACGTTTATTGGTCATAATATCTTTGCCTTTCTTTTTCAGAAATAGCTTTGCGAAATGATCAACAACACGTTGGTCGAAGTCCTCTCCACCAAGATGTGTGTCACCATTTGTAGCAACTACTTCGAACACACCGTTCTCAATTGTAAGTAGTGAAACGTCGAAAGTACCACCTCCAAGATCAAATATCAGAATATTCTTCTCACCATCTTTCTTATCTAGACCGTAAGCAATCGCAGCAGCAGTTGGTTCATTAATGATCCGGAGTATATTCAAACCAGCAATTGTGCCAGCATCCTTGGTTGCCTGGCGCTGTGCATCGTTAAAATAGGCTGGGACAGTGACTACTGCGTGGGTAACCTTTTTGCCAAGATAGGATTCAGCAAACTCTTTCATCTTCCCTAACACCATAGCAGAGATCTCCTCTGGGGCAAACGTCTTGACTTCTGATCCAACGTGAACTTCGATATATGGTTTGTTCTTTTTATTAACAACGGAAAAAGGGTAATGACTTATGTCATTTTGTACAGCTGATTCATCGAACTTCCTTCCAATAAGTCTCTTGACGTCGAAAATTGTGTTTTCTGGATTTGATGTCAGCTGGTTTTTAGCAGCATCCCCAATTAATCGCTCTCCTTCCGGAGTGAATGCTACGTATGAGGGAGTAATCCTGTTACCCTGATCATTCGCAATAATCTCAACTCGGCCTCCTTGAAATACACCAACACTAAAAAATAATAAAAGGAACCATGGACTTACCAAGAATATGTAGTGCCTAAATCGATTCCAATAACAGTTCCGTAATCTTCTTTCTTCTCTTCGCACGACACCAAACACAAAATGTACGACAATAGTAGCAAACACGAGAACATGTTCCCACGTAAACTTTCAACGGTCTTCATAAGCTGACAATACGTTCGCTTAAATTACTATGGTAGTTTATGTGGATAAATGTGATTGGCTGGCTTAGTATACGTCACTCCAACAGCGCAATCAAACAAATTGAAACCATTTATAGTCCATGATAGTTGTAAAATGAGTTGATATGAGAACCTTTCCTATAAAATTATTAGTTATGTGGGCTAAGTGCAATTTTCATATCTTTAACTGCTCATTTAATACTCAACATAGTAAATTAGCTCACATGTCCTAGTTTCGTTAAGTCTACCACACTGTAGATAGAGTAATACTTGAGAAATACCTGAGCACTCAAATTTTTTATTTGTTTTCAGCATAAAAAATGATGCAGGCCAATTTATTAGCGTCATCGCTTAGCCGCAAAAGTGATTGCATACCCAATGTTATTTGGAGTTATTGTGTTCAACCATTAATATTTGGTATCTAAATGGTCCAAATGGTTCAAATCTACCTAGTAGATCCGAATTGTATGAACAAGTGTTCAACCACATGTACTTTGAAAGTTTCTCCCTTTAGATTCAGTTACTCCTAGAGGTATTTGAAGATGCCACAGGTATTCGGAGTTTGACAACGCTTGATATCATCTACCTGGATTTCTCAAAAGCTTTTGATAGGTTAACCATACATGTCTTATCAGTAAGCTCAAACCATTGGGTATCAAACCACCTCTAATCGATTGGCTCTCTTCATACCTGAAAATCGACATTTGAAGGTCAGGGTTAATTTCACTTCATCTCGGCTTTGGAATGTCCTAGTGGGGTCCCCCAAGGCTCAGTACTAGGACCCCTTCTCTTCTTGATCCGCATAAATGATCTTTCTCAACAGGAACGTCAGACTTATTACTTTCTGTCGATGATGTGAAATTTGGAGAGATATGCAACCAAAACGATATACAGACACCTCAGGAGGATCTGATTCGAATTCAAAGTTGGGCAGAAGATAACGGACATACCTTTAACATTTCACAATGTAAAGTAGTCCATCTACGACATGTCGCTGACTACAGTTGCAACTTAGGAAACTCCTCTCTAGTAGTATCCCAAGTCGGAAAAGATTTAGGAGTCCTGGTGCCCCATGATTTAAAGTCTTACGCTAGTTGTGACAAAAATGCCTTTCGAGCAAACCTTGCACTCGTAACATTGAAGCGCATTTTCGGAAGAACTTTCCATATAATCTTCAACAGTTTTATCCGTCCCCATTTAGAGTACGGAAACATAGTATTTCCTCTCCCACTCCGAAAGGATAAAGACACTCTGGAGCGTATACAACAGTGAGCCACGAAGTCAGTCCGGGGTTTCAAGTTTAAACCTCATGAAGAGCGTCTCCAATAACTTAACCTTTATCCATTAGAGTATAGGCATCTTAGAGGTGACCTAATGGCTTAAAGTATCCTTAACGCTTCTGGACATCCTCTTAAACACCTACTTAAGCTTAGTTCCAACACTAACCTAAAGGGTAACACCCAGAAATTGGAGATACAACAGCAGAACGGACCGCAGACACAACTTCTACTCCTTAAGAGTTGTCAAATGCTGGAATTCGCTGCCAGCCGAGCTAGTTTAAGCGACTTCCCAGGAGGACCTTAGAAGGCAACTTGATCCATTCTTAAGGATTAAGGATAGTATCATACTATGATTTGCCGATATCTTTTTCCTCTTTGATTGTTAACATACTTAGGTTCTTGCCTGGAGGTATTGGTGATCCCCTACTACTAGACACGGAAGCCTGTCAAGCGAAAGCTTCTTCTATTCCGTCCACAACCATTTGACCCATTTGAACCAGTAACACCAAACTATGAATCGTACTCACCAAAGGAAATCAAAAGACAGAAGCGAAGAGGTTCGAAGATATATTTGATTAGCTATCGATATATGGTGGATCGTCTGGTCTAATCTGGCTAGTGATTGCAGTAGATATGAGCACGGCGTTCCCACTTGTGATCTGGTGAGGATGCATGTCCGAGCGCCTTCAGCTAGGTGAGTCCATTAAAACTAATATGGTCAGCATTCAATGTTGAAGACTCACAGAGCTACTGATTTTGGGGATTTATTTACCGCTACAGCTTCACTCTTCTGACCCCTAGTGATACGTGATACTAAGAAACGCAAGTTAATACGATGCACACAAACATACACATCAAATAGAATTGTGCATTGTGAATTCTTCATGTCCCTTTCTTTTTTTCCTCTTTCCAAATTTATTTCACTGTATTATACTCCCTGAATAACATCTTCAAACCCCAATTTTTCTGATTACGGCTTATAATTTTACTGCATCTAGCACTACGGGATTTGAATCGACCACTGCATCTCTGTTGTAATGTGGTGTGGCAACTCGAACTGATGTACGTACGTACAAAGTTCTACGTTGTTACTGACTGACTGACTGATTATGCGGAAATTTTGGGGTTCTTCAATTGTTTAAACCGTGGGTATGATTGCCTTCATTCCCAACTTTTCTTTTAGTATCAATATTTAAACCCATAAGATATGCAGGCATATGTCTTTATGACGAGTGGATTCCTGTACTGGTGATTTTGTGTGGCGTATCTCTGTATCAGATTGCATCGATGACGAACTGAGTCAGTGTCTGTTTTCAGACCTGTGATTTGGGCAGAGATAATGATCGACGTCGAAATGATTTTAAGGCGAACTGTAGGATTTCCGTAATTGACAAGAAGCATAATATTAGGGTTCCATTGGTACACATACTTCACTCTGCTGCAAAAACACATGCCGCAGAAACCCATGTGACAGGTGAGACGGTGGTCTTTGGTTTCATTGATGAGGTATTATAACACAGTAAACAGAATCATGACAAAGCTCTCGTTATGCAGACTTATCTACGTTTACGCTGAAACTAAAGAGATCCAACTTGCAATTAGTCATACGGCAGTAAGACTCCGGAGCGAATTGTTCAAGGATGTTTCAGACTGATACTAAACGAAAAAATACTAAAACACCTCAAAAATTCAAACCAACAAGAAACGACACTAGCCTATTTCAAAGGTCCACCTTGTTAATATATACTTTTGTTCAGTTGGTGAAACTTAGTATAGCCTGCGTAAATCAGTGCGTAGAGATGTGGGCTTGAGTTACGTGAATTGTCTGGATAGCATGACTGATCCTTGATAAATAACTCATCAAATCGTTTACAGGACATTCAACTTAAAGGTGTCTAGAGTATCCGGTGTTTGGCTTATTACTGCTATAACTTGTGCCTGGTGATATAACGCTGATATAGCTCGAAAGATATAATGTATAGCGTGACAAATAGACAGGCATTAGATTAAATAATGAGTGACGGACACATACAGATGCATAAGAGGCAAATATGAGTAAAGACACGATGTCATGAACATAATAGGCATATAAGCTGAACATCACAATTCAGCATGAAAAGATTAGAGCTATTTTGAAGGTAAGGATGGCTCAGTAGTCACATACTGTCTGAGTATCAAATTATTCAAAAATGAAGAATATTTGAGCGAACATTTGTTTTCAATAACTTCACCATAAGGCTCTACAGTCATAAGTCCATAATTATGGTATTTTACAAAGGCCATAATAAGGCATGTACTAACGAATTTGACAGTGTTATATGTTAAAAATGGTGAACGTTTGCATCTGTTACGACATTTATGTGTCAAAATTGTGTTATTTGCAAATTAGAAAAGTCATTTAATAAAGGTCAAAATGACTTGGAGTAAACTGTTTGGTCACAACCAGTAGAATAGTAATATAGCAAAATTAAAAGTGCAAAATGTCGTTTGAATAAACTGCACAGTGAGAGATTTTCATCTTGTCAGTTGAGGCGCTATATTTCCTACTATATTATATTGAATGCTGAAAGACTTTGTTTGTCTAAAACAGGTAATATCACGCTCCACTGTGACTGCTCAACGATCTAAATAAAGACCTACTCACTATTAGTCTGGTTTCTAAAATCAATAGCACGATGGTTACGTACCGGCACGAAACATGTTCGCAAACACGCAAGGACACTGCCTCCTGAGTATGGCCTATGTAACTAGCTCCACAGGAGCAGTTGAATTGGTAAACACACATGGGGGAGCCCATCTTCGGTAACCCATCCTTGATTTGTTGTGTGAGTACTGGTTTATTTGAGAAAGTGATATACAGCTTGGCGACGTGAAACTTCCTTTCGACCGATCTTCTTAGTTGACATGTGAAAATATCGCCCACCATGTCCCCTTTTAAAGTCCAGTCTTAGATATTCCTTCCAAAAATATTTCGTTTAGTGGAACCGTCTATCCTCCTAGAAAGTAGGACACCAACGAAAGCTATACTGTTGTCTTTCTTCTCCTCGCTGGTAAATTTAATAGCTGAGTGGACGTTATTGAAAGTGTCCAGCATCTCTTGTTGTCGGTATTTTCGTCACATGCGATTACTGTCATCTGTGTATCGACAGTAATAACCCAGCCTACTTAGGATGTCTTTTAACGGTCCATTGTCTAGTTTGGTCAGAAAAATATTAGCAAGGATCGGGCCTAGGGGTGGTCCCATTGCTACTCCATCTACTTGTCAGTAAAATTCATTTTCAAACATAAAGTAGATATTCATAGTACGTTTTAACAGAAGTTCCTTCATTTTACTTCCTGGGATCGGTATCTCTATTTTCTTTCCTAGCAATCGTTCACATATGTAATCGATAGTTTCAGTCAGGGGGATGTTAGAGAACAAAGATGCTATGTCTAGTGATAACATGATTTCGCCATTTATATTCACATTTTTTACTGTATCCGCAAATTCTAATACGTCTTTAACACCGTGCAATGGTTCTAATAATTTTACTAATCATTTTTATGTTGAATGGTATGGCGTTTGACATATCCGGAATTAGGCGTAAAGAACCTCAGGTTTATAAATCTTAGGTAGGCCATATGTGTTCCGGAAGACCTGAACCTATTGTAGGTTTGCTCAGAGATGTATTGACGTTGTTTTAAAAAATTCAATGGTGCAGT